AGTTGAGAGAAAATAAGCATGCATTCACGGGGGTCACTCTCAGTTTGCTGCCCTCCTCCGTCTCCACCCGCCTTATTTGCATTGGGATTGCTGAGTCAGGAAACATCCAGCTGTACCCTGAACTCCAACTGTGCACTTTTGAGCACAGGGTGCGATGCTGGAGGCAGCAGAGGATTTGAGGAATGAGGATCCGAGCTTAAGGGACGCACAAGAAGGAATCCCACCTAGACGTAAGGTGCTTGTTGGCAGCAGAGGTTGCCTGCATCCTTCCATTCAAGGGATCTGTAGTAATAGCTACTGGGTGGAGCGATCTTATGGAGTTGACAGGTGGGGGAGTCTGTAGAGGAGGAACCACAGTGGAAGTTTCTTCAGCTAGGGCTAGTAGAGTGCAGCTCTCCTAAGAATCTAAACACGTGCCTACACCCACACCCACACACCCACCCCAAAGCCATAGCCCCATCTTTCTCCTATCACCCACACTCACATTCACACATTTCCATTGACTGAGGTTGTGTATACACCATGCATCTAAAGCATATTCCCCTGCTCTGCCCCAAAGAATCCTGGGAACTGTGGTACTGGGAATTATAGTTTGTGAAGGATAAACTACTGTTCCCAGGATTATTGCAGGGGTGGGGTGGGAATGTGCTTTAAAAGTGTGGTGTTTACATGGCCTAAGAGAGCCAGTGTGGTGTAGTGGTTAGAGTGTTGCACTAGGACCTGGGAGACCAGGGTTCAAATTTCCAACCAGCCATGAAACTCACTGGGTGACCTCGGGCCAGTCACTGTCTCCTAACCTAACCCACTTCCCAAGGTGGTTGTGAGGATAAAATGGGGAGGGGGGAACCGTGCATGCCACCTTGGGCTCCTTGGAGGGAGGGAGGCTATAACTTAAATCATTCAATCAGTGCTCATGGTGTATAACTTCCCCACAAACAAATCAGAATGAATGCTCAATATACAATGACTGTAACCTTTGTTTAAGCAAAGCGGAGTGAATACTCAATAAATACATCATCTGGAGAAACTCAAAGACTACCACTGATAAGCCTGCTGGGGTTTCAGACAAGAGTCTTTTCCAACCCTATTTGGAAATGGCAGGCATTGAACCCATGGCCTTCTGCACATCAGGCATGTGCTCTACCATTCAGCTGTAGCCCCTTGCCAAGACAAGAGGGAGAAAAGTGACTTCCACAAGACCAGGAACTGGAGGGGTGTGTGTGTGTGTGTGTTGGTAATGTCAACCATTGCAATGGCTGTTAAGGTTCTATCTCCTCTCTCCAATTTTTATCAGTACCAGGGGGACAAATCAGCACTCAGCACCATGGCTATCATTGGCTACTAACCCTGATGACTATATTCTACCTCCACTGACAGAGACAGTGAATGCTGCTGAATGCCAGCTGCTGGAAATCATGTGGGGACATTTGCTGTTGTGCTCAGGTTATGCTTGTGGGCATCTCATGTGCATCTGGTTGGCCACTGTGAGCACTGGATCCTGGACCAAGTGGATCCAGCATGTCTCTTCTTATATTTTTACATGAGAAGAACATGTAATTTCCCAGTTGACTTCAGCCTGCAACCAGTTTGTGCTGCCTACTAGACCATTTTGGAAACTCCTGCTTACTCAGGTTAGGACTATACTAAGCCTTAACTCCTAACTGGGTATCAAAGAGAAACTTCAACAGATACAAGATATTTACAAGGAGAACTGAAGCAAGAGGAATGCAGGACAGCTCCCTTGAAAAAGAGTGATCAGGCCAAGGTTGAAGAAGACCCGTTTACTGAGCATTCCTGATTTGTTTTTCCAAAGTTTGTGGGGAAGTTAGCTATTTACTGATAGGGAGGCATTTAGGGCTCCCCACCCGTCCTAAACAGCTGATTGCCAATGAAATAAGCACACAGTGACCCAAGGTGCATCTCCTTTTGCTTTCTTTTGAAGGGTAGAGAAAGGAAGGAAGGAAAAGGGAGTCGGTAAAAACATGAGGGTTGTGGTTGGATTTTAAGAGCAAACAAAGCCTGTTGGTGAGAGGATCTGAGTCTGCCCCCTCCTGCAGATTATCTCCCATCGCTCCTTCCTGCCCAGCACGTTAACTCCTCGCCAGGCTTATTTTTGGTCCTGGAGCCCAGCTGCAGGGGCAAAGGCGGGGGGACGGGGGACGGGGGACGAGGATGAGTTCTGGCAGCAGATGCAGAGATGGAAACCGTGGGAGGAAGCTCAGTGCTGGCCCAAGACATTTGCCTTCCTGAAGCAGAGCCTAAATGGCACTCTTCCCGCCCTGCTGCAGCGCTTCAGAAAGAAAAGGAAAGGTCTTGCTACACCACCAGTTCCTGCCTTCATTCTAGCACCAATCGCCCAGCTGAATGGCAGGCCAGCCCTGAGTATTCCAGGAAAAATGTGGAATTGAATCAGATACCCCCTCCCCCCAAAAAGAGGTGTCCTATGCTAGGAGGGATCCTTTTTCCTGCATGACCCCAAAGTAGGTGTGGCTACCCCATTTTCTCTCTTTCTGTGCCACCCCCTTTGTCTCTCTTCCTGTTACCTTTTTTGCCCGCCTGCCCATCCCAGACAGGCTGATGGTAAAGGGACAGATCACTATTTCAAGAGATCTGAATTGATCATTTGCAGGGGGCTTTCCCTTTCTTCTCCTTCCATCAGTCTATTTTGGCTTTTTTTGGGTTGTCCCGCTCAAGATCACTTCCTTCTTGATTACCCCCAACTGTATGAAATGTGGTCAAACGTACCCATGCAGTGTTGTGTGTGCCTGGCATCCTATTTAAACTGGGGCATCGGCCTCTCATTCCTCCAAGCACACACCCCAGTTCCATGAACAAAGCTGACCAGACAGGCAGCCGAATCTTCCTTCAACACTGACAGCCAGGCCACGGCCTCCAGCGCACTTGAGATCAGTGGGCTAGCTCAGGGGATGGTGCAGGACAGCACTTAACTGCACATTTCTCCTAATCCAAACATTTTTCTGTATGCCATTTTGTCTAATATGCATTTCTTTAAGCATTTTCCTGTAATAGAATACATTTTAGGTATTTTAATGAATGCATGCATTAAAAAATCCAAACTTTCCCCAATATATGCATTTTTGCACACATTTTTGTGTAGGAAATGTGTATTTTAAAAGAGATCTTTTAGTTTGCATATTGTTTCTGATTAGGTGGATTCGTATTAAAATGTCATCCGAATCAGATTTGTTCCTCATCATATAAACACCTTGGGAGTGTGTGGATTACAGGGACTTAGCTATGTGTTTATTGCCTATCCAGCTATTTTTTTTTAAAAGAAAAAACGGGGGGAAACCCCCATAACCTACACCACTTTGTAGAGTTTCTGCAACATGGCAAGGAACTTGTGGTAGTGCTTGTATGTTTATGGATCATATTTCCCATGCGAACTTGCTGATGGCTGAACATTTTTTTAGAAGCTTTATTTGGGGGCTAACAAGGGGTGAGAGGTGGGAAGGAAGCTTGCACTCTGTGCATTCTGCACTGGCTGAACTACAACTCCCATTGGCCATGGGGGCTGAGGCTGATGGGATTCCTCATCCTAGTATAGGCAAATCTGGAGCTAGATGGACCAATGATCTTCGTATAAAAAATATTTCTGTGTTCCTATTGCCCATGTTTTTGTTATGGTGGGGATGGTAAAGTGAAGGATGAACAGAGCCACTTCTGAATACACACATGGCACTTTTTTTAAGATCCAAGAGGAGAAGCTTGATGGATGGTTAAACCGCTGTTTGCTAGCATCCAGGGTAGGCTTTTGACGCAAAATTATAATGCATGTTTGCTCCCTTTGAAAGGGGAACAGATCTGCATGCAAGAGTTATTCTATCTAATATAGAAACCTTTAGAATAGTGCAGGGCTGGCCACACATGAGGCAAGGTGAGGCAACTGCCTCAGATGGCAGGATGCATAGGGCCAGCAGATTTGGCCGCCAAGGAATGTTTTGTCCACTGCTGCTGCTGCTGCTTGGATGGCAGTGACCGCAGCAGCACACTCCTTGGAGGCTGGATCTGCTCTCTCCTCGGCAGCACCCCTAATGCCGCCTCTATAGTGGCCTCTTGGTGAATAGGAGCTGCTGCTGGTCTTCCACTTGTTTCCAATGAAGATCTTTATTCCCCCTTTGTTCTTGATGTAGATGTTCACTTACCCCATCTTCCCTGGTTTGTCCCACATAGCAGACACTGGCATATTAAAATGCACACAAAAAATCTTCCTGTCGGTCATTGTGCACAAGCAAAAAAAAAAAAAAGTTACCTGTGCATTGTGATTGCACCCACTTTCCCCTGAATTAGCATGCAAATGCTGAACTGTGTGTGTGTGTGTGTGTGTGTGTGTGTGTGTGTGTGTAAGTTGCCATCTTGAAGTGCCCTTCAGTTTCCTCCTGGCTTCCCAGCAGCACAGCATTTTTTAGGGCACCTTGTCTTCCAACCACAGTGGGAGCAACGGCAGACAAAGTCGCACAGACAAGGCTTCCCGCTTTGAAATGCAGGCCAGAAAAAATCTCATCCACCCCGCCAAGCTGATTCTGGTGTTCTGGTGCGGAGGCCTCTCAGTTGAGAAAAACAAGCGAGCTATTTTCATGCCGCCAACAGAGAGGCTGGGAGCCTAGAGCCAAGTGGCAGCAAGCTGGAAATCAGGATCCTACAGAACTGCAAAGAGCAAAAGCTTATGCTCTCCATCTGATGATGCCCTTTGATTGCAGCCCAAATGTCAGAATGGCAGCCTTTGCAACCCATTGTTCCTGGATTTGGCCTTAGAAGTGCCTCTCCCACCCCCACCCCAACGCATAACTAAGCACAGCATCTTAAGTGCATGAGCTAAGCATTAGTTCCAGCCCCTCCCCTCCCCAATCCTCAAGTGCTGGCAACAGACGCTCCCTAGATACCCTAGGCATCCATTCAGTTGTCAACAGAAGCACACAAAGCAGCCTCGTCACTCAATATATAGGTTTCTTTTAATATAAAAAAGTGTCTATTAAAAATTCCTTCCTAAATACACAAAAAGACCAGTTGGGGCACAGGGAGGGGGGAGGGGAAGCAAAATAAAAAGAGGGGCTTTGAGGGGTGGTGTGGATGAAGGCAACGTGGCCTGGGGAAGGAATCAAGCAAGCAGGAGCTTATATGGTGACAAATCAGGTGTGTTCTGTCTCCAGTCGACTACCAAGTCTGGTATATTGAGTCGTACAGTTCAGATCAGTAATGGGTAACACAGAACAGGGGTGGGGGTCTTCCTCTTTTTTTAAGTTTCTTTCTTTTTTTGTTTTTGCACAATCCACAAAGCTGTACATAAGTTTCCAAATCCAGGAAAAGGAGGGAATAGAGAGGGCAGGACAAAGGTGGAAAAAGAAGTCACTCGCTCACACGCACACACACACATACACCCTGAGCTCAGCACTGGCGCAACGGGGCACACATGGAAGAAATACGGTTTACAAGTGGCCAATGAGAACTCAGAAAATGCCGTTGCTCCCCTCCCTCTCCCTAACAAAAGAGGGTGCATTTGTTTGTCTTTAATCTCCCCCCCCCCTTTTCTTTTTAAAATACAAATTTGGATCTTTGGGTGCGTACTGCCAAAAAACAAAACAAAACAAAACAAAAAAATAAAAATCCCGCCCCCCCAACAAACAATAAAAAAGCAACTTAAAACCTCAAGGAAACCCATGCTGAAATTTGCACATCACAAAACCACAGCAGATGTACAGATGCAATATACAATACACGATTTATAATAAAACATTATATACAATAAATAGCTTCTTGTTACTTTTTGTCAATCAATCTGCAAATAGATTTCTCAGTGCATATCTGACACAATTAGCTTCTCTCCTGCTTTGACTCTCTCTGGACTCCTTTTTTTCTTCTTCTTCTCCTCTCAATATATATTTCTGATTTTGAAAACGCGCTCTGTGTGTGTGTGTGTGTTCGTGTGTTTTCATTGTGTTTGCTCTTTTGTATTTTTTTTTTCATTTTTTCCATATATTTTTGAAAAGTATTTACAATTGCTGGTTTTGTGCAGAAAGAAAAGCCCCATTTTCCCACCCTCCACCCCACCTTGCTTCTCAACAAAGGAGACACAAGCATCTCAGTGACAGACCTGGGGTTGGGGGCAGCAGGGAGAGGCAGGAGAGGCAGTAACATAGAGGGCCACAGTAAAACAGGTGTGTATTGGGGTTGGGCAGGGGGACAGGGAGGGAAAGGCAACACGAGGCTCCTGTCTTCTTGCTGGGACTTCTCAGTGGATGAGGATTCTTCAAGGGGGAAGTCCTCCTTCTCTCTACCCAGCCTCCTGAAGGAGCAATGTCAAGAGGAACCAAGAAGGGTGCATTTCCGTTTGTCACAAGAGCATAGCCAGTGTGGTCGGGGGAGGATCTTCCTGTTGGTTGTGGGAACTGGGAACAGAAACAAAGGGAAAGAATTAACAGCAATGACACGGAAGCTAGGCTTGAGGAACCTGGTGCCCTCCAAATCATGCTGGATGTTAACTCTGATCAGTCCCAGCCAGCATTGGTTGGTTGTTAGGGAAGATGGGAGTTGTACTCCGGCAATATATGGAGGGCCACAGGTTCCCCACCCTCGGGTAAATAGCACCAGCATAACAACAGCAGGTCAGTGCAGCCAAGTGGCTCCCAAGTATGTGGTTTTTCAAAAGCAGCCTCAGATTCAGAATGTGAATCTGAATTTTAGAGGGTCTCTGAACGGTTTTAGAGGGCCTCTGAACATACGCAGTGTTTGCCTTGAACACATGAAGCTGCCTTGTACGAGTCAAACCCCTGCTTCATCTCACTCACTGTTGTCTCCTCTGATTAGCACCAACTCTCCCAATTTCTGCACAAAGGCCTCTGCTAGTTTGGTGGCCTGAATTTCTTTTACTTAGGGATTCCAGGGACTGAACTCAGGATCTTCTGCAGGCAGCGCATGTACTCTACCACTGAGATACCATATCATCCCACAGTGTGTGGCTTGTCTTTCTTACTAGAGGTATCAGCCACAGATCTGCTGTCTACTCATGGCACGTTGCAATCTATGCCCATCTATGGGAGGCGTATTATTAGCGTATCTTGCGTATCTTGATGCCATTCAACAAATCTTTCAGTATAAGGACCAAGCTATTTGTGACTGTAACAGTGTAGCTCTGCTCCTGGGTCCAGGGTATTTTGTCCAGCCCTGTAGTGAACAATTGTGAATTGTGCATAGCTCTTGTTATTATTTATTGATAGGGGATTTAAACCCTTGCATGTTGTTTTTAACACTTTGCCCGTTTGTTCTCGTACCGCATCATTGGAACATAGAGCTCATAGACTTATAGAATTGTAGAGACCCAAGGGGTCATCTGGTCCAACCACCCACAATGCAGGAATCCTGCCTATCAGACCACTGGTCCATCTAGCTCAGCATTGTTTACAGTGACTGACAGCAGCTCTTCATGGTTTCAGATAAGGTTCTCTCCTAGCCTGACCTGGAGGTGCCACAAATTGAACTTTGGGCTTTCTGCATGCAAGGCAGATGCTCTACCACTGAGCTATGGGCCTTGCAGAAAAAAGTGCCTCTATTTGTTAATGGGGTGTCTATTCCGCCTACCCACCCCCTCACTTTTTTGCAAATTATATTGCTAGTATAGGGCTCCGATTTGGGTGAAGACTGCAATGGGATGGCAAAGGGTTAAAGGCCCCCTACCCCTCACAGAAGAGTTCCAGTCTGGAATGGGGCCTGTACACAGGCAATTTGTAAGGGGGAAATGCTGCATTCAAGGTCAGAACTACCTAGTTAAGAGCACTTGTAGTTTAAACACATGCAGTCGGCCCCTGAAAACAAAAGGGAGAAACAGACTGGCCCTTGGGTGGATTGGTAGAGTGCAATACCGACTGAATGAGAGATTGTGGCCACCGTCCTTTGGACAGAAAAGAGAGCTTAGGAATACCTGAATGTTTGAGTGTTTGGAGGTTGAAGGGCTGATATGCACAAGAGCTGGCCTGGCAGGTTTGCACCTTAAAAATCTCAAGATGTATGCGGGCAGACTGTCGTTACTCGGTCCTGAACTGGGCTGCCACGGAGACTGTCTTGCCCAAGGATCCTCCAAAACATGGAGCCACCAGTGGTACCGCAGTCACGTCATGTGTGGTTAGAGGCACCGACTGTGTGGTTCCAAGGTGTTCACATACATGTTCCGGGACTGAATCCAAGCTCAGTATTTAGCCCTGGTCACACCATGGAGATCTTTCCAGACATGCCTAAACAAAAACAGCAGGCACTGCTTCCGAGTCCAAGGGACCTAGCTTTGCAGTTCCAGAGGCAAAGCCACCTGGGGATCAAGAGGCATAAAAATGCAGAGGAATGGCGCGTTCAACCCTCCCGTGACAGATGCTGGAGGCCCTCAGGCAGAAGAAACAGAGTGACAGGCATCCTAGCGAGGCAAAGGATGAGGAGAGCTAAGGGATCAGTTGTCATAGAGACTGTTACTGCTAAGACTTGTTCAGCTTAGTTAGCATGGGAGAGCAGGAGAAGGTGCCCATTGGACAGCTACCGCTGAGAGGCTCTCAGAAGTGGCATCAAAATGGATGCTAGTAAGAAGGGACTGAGGAGCAGCAACAGGAGGAAAAGGGGGGACTGTGCTGACCACAGCAGCCCTAGAAACACATGTTTCAAGGGTGGGTGAGAGTGGATGCCATAGCTAAGGCCTGCCTCTGAAACCTTTCTCCCAGCTCTGCCCTATTCATTTTGAAAACCATGGCTTCTGGGCAGGACTGCAGCCTAGTGGGTTCTGACAGAAACTGAGCTTTTTGCACTTCAAACCTGACCATGGAAACCCTTGACACCAGCCCTGTTCAGTAGTGAGTAGTGATAAGCCAGTCTGCACACAGCTTGAGATTTTAAGGTGCAGAGCTGCTAAGTCAGCTTGTGTATATGTCAACCTTTCCATCCCAGTATGCTCAATCAGGTATTCCTCCAAGCCCTCCTTTCTATCAGAAGGTGGGTTCCCACCATGTCCCATCCTGCAGTGAAAAAAGAAGCAAGTAAGCAAACAAACAAACAAACAAACAAACAAACAAACAACCCAAAGCTTTTCAGCAACTTTTTTAGTGTGGGGTGAAGAAGCTACATAGAGAGGTGCATGCAGGAGCAAGTCCACAGTGGCCACTCACAAGTCACCATTTTGCTCTGCTGTCGCCACCTCTGTCTCAGAGCAATGGAAGATGGGTGTGCAGAGGAAAGACACACTCTTCTACTTCCATTGTTAAGTCTCTCATTCAGCAGCAGGAGACCTGATGAGCTGAGACTGCGCTCACAACTTGGTTCCTGGAGCAGGTGTCAGGGATCGGCACTGTGGGGACCCCCAAAGAGGCCCCACTGTGGACTTATGGCTCCCCTGGGCCCTGCTCCTCCTTTTCCTCTTTGCTGCCACTGTCTGTTCAGTGGCTTCTTGGAGCAGCTGTGCAGATAGCAAGCAAATAGGCATCAGTGAACAGCAAGGAGGAAGTGAGCCCACTCACAGAGAGGCCTCACGGGGGCATCTTGCCCCAAAGCCCCCTTAAAAACTCTGCAGCCTGCACTGCACAGCAAACTGTGTGGGTGTGATTCTGTCTGCAACATAGATATTATTGCCTGCTAGTTGTTTTCAGGCTACTACTGAAACCGGATCCAGAAAGGGGACAAGCTGTCATGAGCTGCAGCTCCCTGCCATCCTGTTCTTCTCAGTGCCCTCAGCGGTCACACTGGTTGAGGACTGCTTGCCTACCACCGGCCCACCAGACGTATGAAAAGATAGGACAGAGGAGTAGGAAAATGATAAAAGGAATGAGACCCCACAGCCAATACAAAGATTGTTGTAAAAGTACATAATTTCTGAACCGGAATTTTCTATATTAAGAGCGGCATGTAAATGAACCTAATAAATAAATAATAGATAAATGAATCCTCCTAGAATGTGCCTTTCAAGAGTTATGATGGAAGGAGGTCCCTTTGTATGTTCAGTCAAGTCAAAAAACACTTTCATATGTAAAGCTACAATGTCAGAGAGATAGGCCATAATCCTTCTCTGAGTCCTGCCACAATTTCTATGCATTTCCTTACTCTCCACCATTTGTCCTGCTTCAAGATTTGCAGCACAGAGCTATGCAGGATACAGCAGCCATGCTCCCTGACCACTGCAGATCTGATTCAGCAGGCTCCCCTCTGGCTTTTGAGTCTTGCTCAGCCCACACACTTTCCAGTCTACATAGCCTTGAGTGATGTATAAACATGCTCTTAAAAAGAGAGTGAAGATTATCTGTGTGCTGAATTCTATATCCGGTGCCAATTTCTGCATTTGTGCAGAGCGGGCTGTGGAATGCACTCCTTTCTCCAGTCCGTTTCTTGATTATTTCATGTATCAACTGGAAAATGTACTTGGGCAGGGCCTGCTTACACATTTTGTACACTGCCTTGATCTTTGAAGGGGGGCTGTAGCTCAGTGGGGGAGCACCTGCTTTGCATGCCAAAGGTCCTGCGTTCAATCCTCCACATCTTCAGGTACAGCCGAGGGAGACTCCTGTCACAAACGCTAGAGATTGCCGGTCAATGTAGACAATACTAAGCTAGATGGACCAATGGGGTCTGACTCAGTATAAGGCAGCTTCCAGGCTTTATGATGGTGGTGGTGATGATTATTATTATTCCCCATATTTTTTCCTGACAGGACTCAAGGCAGCTTGCATATAAAAATAAGAACTGCTAAAAGCAAAGAAAAAATCATCATTAAAAAGCAATTAAACATGGATAGAAATAAAACCATATACATATATAAAATCTTTTAAAATCGTACGAATAATTACAATAAAAGCAGCACGGCACCAGCCGTTTCATTAAAAGCAGCCAGTCCCCGAAAGCCTGTTAGAACAAATAAGTAAGCAACAACCTACTTCCCTGATTATTATTTTTTTAAAGTCAGGTTTTCAATGCATAGTATTCTGTGGATTCCTGAGAGCTCAGTGGCAGAGATAAAAGGATAAACATCAAGGAAAGGGTTAAGGAAATAAACAGACCCATCTCTCCCCCACACAACACACTTTCCATTGAATGGGCTTAAATGAGCACTTAATGTGACTTTAATATGGCTGTTTCAGTATGCTAATCCAATATCGATTGATTGTAAAAAGGGACGCCCTCTCTGAAATTGAACAAGCCAGTGAGAAACAGACCTGGCATGCAATTAGTGCCAAATTACCCAGGCCCTGATGGCTTTGAGTGCACCCTGATTAGAGCTGGAAACTCACATGGAAAGGGGCAAATTCCAGACAGACACCTGCACTCCAGGAAAATGCTTTCTGATGGTGGCAAACTCTAGGCAGGGAGGAGGTGTGCAAAAGGTGCAGCAGCACAATCAAGAGGATTAAAGGAACAGGTGTGCGTCTAGACATGGTTTAGCCAGAGAAAAACTGAACAAGGGTTGGGCCGAACGAGAGTTCAGGATGACCCGAGCCTGGAAACGGGAAATTGCTTTAAGAGGTGAAGTTGGTGACAAAACAGTAGCATCGTCACTTGGGGGGTATACACCCATAAATTATGTTCCACTTGGACCCAATGCAAGGCCAATCCTGCCTTTAGGTAGAGTGAAGCAGATGCTCAGGCAGTGAATGCCGGGGAGGACATTGGCTGATCCTCCTGATCCCGATTCCCAGGATATGTCTGCACATGCCACACCACTTGATGGTTGGCCCTCTTGGAAGTACTTAGGGTGGTGTCCAGTACTCCTGTTCCATTAGCATATGGCATGTGCACTAGTGGAAGAGAACGTCCCCCTCATCTGCAGCCCCCATGTGCCCTCAAAATCAGCTGCAGATGGTTAGGCAACCCTTCAGACATTAATGGGGTGGGGTGGGGACATGCGGTGGGAGGAGAGGAAACGGCAGTCCTCCTGTGCCATTGGAACTCCACCAGCGTTGCTCTCATGCATCTCACAGTGAGACATTTTATTTTCCCACAAGGCCCTGAAAGGACATTAGACTGCTAGCATTGTAGGAGACTCAGATTGTTACTTACTGGCAGATGACGGTGTCCCCAAGGCCCGTTCACAGACTTGTAAAATCTTCTGGGCTCTCCAAAGAAATTAAGCAACGACAACAAAAATGTTCTTTTTTAATAAAAAAAAACGCAAACAAACAACCTGGGAGAAAAATAATAATAATAATATAATAATAAAAACTGCACAAGAGAAAGATGAGAAGAAAAAAGAAAAAGAGCTATGAGGAGGAGGAGGAAAATGCTGAGTCTCCAATCTTCATTACTGAGTTTTCATTTGAGTTCACAGATTAGACGGTTCTCTTTTCCCTCTCCCAAAAAGAAACAAAAATAAATTTCCCCTTCCCATGGCTATCCATGTAGGTTGTCCATTGCCTTCCGGTGTGTTTCTCATATGCATGCTGTGGGTGGGTGGTGCTGGGCATCACGGGTGCTCCCCTGGCTCTCGCACTCCACGTGGGCAGTGGCTGTGATCGTTCGATTGTCTTTTTGCTGGACTGCAGGGTGGGAGGAGAGGAGGGCTGACAACATGGTCTGGTTCAAAAATCGTCTCCATGCCGTTCTCAAAGAAAGCAAGTTTTTTATTCTTATTTTTTTAATATATTTTCTTTTTTCTTTCTTTCTTGTTTTAAAAAGGGGGTGTTTATCTCTCTCCTTTCCCCCTCTTTTCCTTTCTCTCTCTCTATTTTTTTATTAGAAACCCCCCCCAAAAGAACCAACAAACAAACGAACAAAAAGATCAGTTTTTGATTTCCATTAAATACAGAACTTGAAAAGTGTTCCAGAAAAAGTGCTGGCTAAAGTAGCTCTGAAAAAGAGAGGGGGAAGGGAGGAGAAAAAAAGAAAAAAGAGAGACATGTATCAAAACGTGGCCCATTCCATCAGAGCATGCACATTCATTCTGGAGCATGGAGCCCGAGGGGCCAAAACCCTTTTGTTCGACAAATCCCCTTATTTGAATCTTCTGTTTAGTAGGCCTTTAAAACAACCTACTAAACCTCTCCTTGTACATATGCTTGTTGCTTTTATTTAGAGTAGAGATTGATAGAAAACTTATGGTCTATACATATTATGGCCATGTATCCTGCCAACTTACCTATCCACATGGTCAGTTTTATCTGACCCTTATTGGGCCTACTTAAATTTAATTAACCTGTCACTTAAAAAAAGTCTAAAGTTTTTTTTCTATAGAGGAAAAATTACCTATTCGATTTATGTCCCCAACCCTTCCACCAAGGTGTTCAGTGTAACATTACACACACCCTTTGTGTCAGGTTGCATTGCAGATCATTGTGCCTGTCAGAGGAGCCTGCATAAGCCCACCCCGCCCCCATTCCGTCCCCTTCTGGGTCTGAAAATGGCCCACACATGCATGGCTGCATATTCTTTGAATGCACGCAAAACAGGAGTTGCCTGTATATGGGTTTGTGTTTTAGAAAGCTGCTTTAAAAAGCTATGTTCAAATATATGTGAAAGAGATATTCCATAGTGTAACACTGCACCCTTGGTAGAAACTGGACATTATGGTGTGGGGGTGTGTGGGGGTGTGTGGGGGTGTTAGAGAGAGAGAGAGAGAGAGAGAGAGAGAGAGAGAGATGGAAAGCCACAGATTGGTTTTCCATCCTTTCTGTTCCACAAAGTCCTATAAGACAAAACACATGACAAGATGTCATTGCATGGTAAGATTCACTATCCCTGTAAACAGCAAATGACGTGGAGCGTGGGTGGGGAAACTCACATGGCAATGATATAACAGCACACATTTTTCTAAATTGCACTGGACCAGGAATGGGGAAACCTGTGGCTCTCTGGATGTTATTGGACTGCAACTCCCATGAGCCACAGCCAGCGTGGCCAGTGTGAGGCAGCAGCAAAAAAGCTAATGCTATTCTAGGCTGCCTCAACAAAAATATAGTGTCCAGATCATGGGAAATAACAGAGTAGTGCTCTATTCTGCCTTGGTCAGAACACACCTGGAATCCTTTAGCCATTTCCGGACATCACTGTTTAAGAAAGATATTGATAAGCCAGAATGTGTGCAAAGGAGGGTGACCAAGATGATCAAGGGTCTGGAAACGAAGCCTTATGAGGAATGGTTGAGGGAGTTGGGTATGTTTAGCTTGCATTAGAGGAAACTGAGAGGAGATATGATCATAGAATTATAGAGTTGGAATCGTAGAGTTGGAAGGGACCCTGAGGATCATCTAGTCCTCCCCCCAGCAGTGTAGGAATATGCAGCTATCCCATACGTGCATCAAACCCACAACCTTGGCGTTATCAGCACCACACTCTAGCCAACTGAGCTATCCATGATTGCGTCAAGTTACTGGAAAGGAGATTCTGACGGAACATCAGGAAGAACTTTATGGTAGCAGAGGCACATTTACGGGAACATGGCAGGTTGGCCCAAACTGGGTGTCAAGCTGAGAGGGTGCTGCAACAATGACTGTGGTGGTGGTGTCGTCGAATTTGGTGTTGCACAGGGTGCCACTGAAATTTGAAAGTCCAAAGTCCGCCCCTGTATTGCAGGGGCTTGGACTCAATGACCCACGGAGTCACTTCCAACCTATAATTCTATGATTCAAAATGTGGAACAGCATCTAGCTGTATTTGCATGTGTTAGTTCCTTGCTTGTACAAGGGTCTATACACTCACAATCATCATAAAATCCAGTGAGATTTGCAAATGAAAACCTTTTGCCTCCAACTGAACAATGTTCAGAGCACAACAGAATAATACTAAACTTGTGCTTGAGAGGCCTGCACTTACTTCTGTTAGCTTTTGGTGACCACCTAACCAGCACTTTGGGCAGCATTCAACTAATGAGCCCTGACAATGGAAGGCTGTACAAGAACTTCTGCTGGCACAATGGGGTCCCCACCCCCATGCACATACCCAGAATTGGTTCAGGAGAATCCTTGGAACAGCACATAAGAGGAAAGGGCAGAACATTCCACCAGAGATGCTAGTGTTGGCAGAGGCGTTCAGCTTAGCGTTATGCTGAATTCCTCTCTTAATATTATTTATTTATCTATTTTTTTCAGTTTATTTCTTGCCTTTCTGCATATAATCCCCAAGATGGCTAACACAGCAATAACAGAAATATAATAAACCAAATAGCTTGGATCCATCTTGCTTTATAGCTACTTTCCCTCTCTAAAATCACCCCCAAATCTCCTGTTAGCAGTTTTCACCTCTAGAGCTTATAGAAAGGCACTCTCAATACCTGCCCCTCATTCATGGAGCTTCTTTCACCTAGAGGTTCTTTAGAGCTCAGGCTGAAGTGCATTTTGGAAGTAGTGAAAGGCCCTTCAAGTTCAGGCATGCATCTGGAAGCTGAGGCTATGTACACATAGTTCCTATATTTACAGCATTTTGCTTTTTGCTAACTTGAGGGACAATTCACAGGTCCCTGTGTTTCTACCCCAGTGTGACAGCATCCTTTCTATAATATCTGAAAGGCGTTTGTGTGTCTGAAAATGTGTGTCCAGGAACTTCTGCTGACCATGACTTCTTGGAGACAGCCATAACACCCTACAGAAGTTACAGAAAGGGACAACGCCAACCTGGGACAAAGACACAGGGAACTGCATTTTTCTGTTACATGTGAAGTCATCATTAGCACAGAGCTATCTCGCCTACATTTTGCCATAAGATGCAGAATACATATCTGCTTATTTACACCTCTGCCTGCAGCTGTATAACATGCACATCCGTGTCATATAAAGGCCTCATTCCTATGTAGTAACTGCTGGCACACAGACATCTGCTTTAAGGCAAGGGGCTTCAAGGATCTCAAAGCCACCACCTTTCTCCCCTCCCTTTGCCACAGTGCATCCCAGGTTTGATTCCCCCTCGTCCCGCCTTTCATGTGCCAGGAAGCCCTTTCCTGGCACAGGTGTGATGAAGCTGAGTTACACAACAAGCCCAAGACTCCCTCCCCCTCCCATTAAAGCATGTCCCCTCCCCCTCCCCCCTTTTCCTCCAGCACCTACCCTGAAACAAAACCTCGTTGTCTGGTTGGCACTTCAGATGACACTACAATGAGGTGACTGTGAATGTGTCCTCAGGATGTTGCTCTAGCATTGGACCCAAAAATGCGCTCTTCTGGGCTGCAGTCATGATGGGGTGCCCTTGGGGTGCAAAACTGGGGTACCTATAGTTGTCCTGCAGCGGCAGCATAGAGTCTCTTGGGACTGGGGAGATATTCAAGTCGTTCATCAAGGGGCAAATGTAGGCCCCTCGGTGGTGGGCCCTTGCCATGTCCATAGGCTCCTTCTCGCTCTTGGAAGGGTTGGTGTTGGGGGGGCTGGTCAGGTGGGGGTTGAGGCAGGAGACATCTGGGCTTCTCCCCATGAAGTCCACTAGCATCCCAACCCCGGCTTTGTTGTCGTAGGGAGGGCTGCGGGTGCTGGAGGTGGGGGAGTACCAATAGTTGGGGTTTTTGCAGCTGGGCGAGTCGTAGTGTGGCTGGGACATGGGCAGGTCCCGGCAAGACATGTGCGCGGCTGGGTGGGGCATGCCACCAGCCCCTTGCATGCTGTGTTTGAGCGAGTCGCAGGCCGGGAGCTTGCGGATATCGCTGGGCCTCAAGTCCTCTTTGAAGGCCAGGGTTGGGGAGCAGTTGGGCGAGAAGGCTTTCTGTAAGCTTGCTTCAAACACAGTCTGCTGAGGGGGCGGGGCAGCAAGCTGGTGGGGCAGGGCGGGGAAATGCTTGCTGTCCAGGTCTGCCTGCCCTAGGCCAGGGGAGTCACTCTGGAAGCCTTGCCCAAAGGTGCCGTCCGAAGGGGTGGAGGGGTTCATGGAATAGGGCCCAGCAAAGTCGCAGGGGTCCCTTTCGCTGAGCCCAAAGCCCCGCGACTGGGAGGGCAGTGGGGACATGCTGCTGTCTCCACTGTAGTAGTCCAGGCCCAAATCTGTACTGTCTTGAAACATGGGGTTCACTTGCTGGGATTTGGTAGGGAACTTGGTCTTGCCAGTGCCTCTCTCCTTCTTGGAGGCACAGGCACCTCGGGAGCCTCGTGGCTGCCTGGCCCCCGTGCCCCTCTTGGAGGGGTATGCACCTGTCGAGAAGTTCAGGTGAGCAGCATCAAATATGTCCACTTTCTTCCGCCTACCACGTCCCGGCTTGGAGCTGCTCTGAAATAAGACACTCTGGTTCCAGTTGTAACCTGGGGCTGAAGATGACTCATTCCAGTCCATCATCAGCTTCTCCAGGCTAGAGAGGCTGGACTGGCCCTCACTAGACGAAGCCTCGCTGTTGGCCCTTCTGTAGCCAGCTGGCTGGTTGAACTGGGTACTGTCCGATGAGGACTCGGAGAAGGTCTCAGAGACGGTCTGCTGCTTGGCCTTCTGGGGTGTGTAGTTGGAGATATCCAGGATAACATTGGGTTCGTTGATATGGCAGTCAAAGCCTGGGTTGTAAAGCTGGCTGAAGGTTTCAGAGTTCCAGTCCAGGTTGCTGTAGCCTTGCCGGAAAGCCCACTGGGAGGCACTGGGAAACTGCCGGCAGTTCTCCGGGGAGGGCTGAAAGGAGACTGAGCCCTTAGGGACCATGTAGCCACCTGGGGACACAGTGCTTGCCCGGCTGTCGCACCTCATGGGCGTGTGGGAGGAGCTGGAGAACTGGCTGGGATCTGAGCTGTTGAAGAAGGAGGCCTTATTCAATGGCAAGCTGGGCCCCGAAGTCTGCTGGGCATAGCTGGCACTATGGGCACTGCTCGGTGATGAGGGCAAGCTGTTGCCACTGCCATAGGTGAAGCTGCAGTCTTTGTTGTTGGGGCAGTCCTGTGTGGCATGGTATGGCTTCCCTTGCTGGAACAAGTTAGAAGGTGTCACGCTCTGCCCACCACTGTTGCTGAAGCTGCCGTACTGTGCATAGCTGGAGGCTGCTGTGGAGTGGGCGGTGGGTGACCTGGAGACAGCAGAGAGAGGCGCCAGCTTCTGAAAGGCATCTGTGCTGCGGCATTCCGAAGCAGCCTGAGAAAGGCTGTATCCCGCTGATCGGCTGGGAGGGAACGACTGCCGGCTTGTCATGGCTGTGTGAAAGGGTGCCTCAGTAGTAGCAGTAGTGGTGGTGGAGGAGGGCGTGACTTTACCCCCTCTGCTTGGGTAAGATGCCATGCCCCTCTGCGTAGCGATGGCATTAGGAGGAGCCGTGTACGAAGGAGCAGATTTCCGTGACTCAGAGCGTGTATTTGAGAGGGCAAAGTCTAACAAGTCAGAGGAATCATCTGAATCCAGCAGGGAGCGGAAATAGCCTGTGAAGAGGCTCTGTCTCTCCTGGCTTAGCTCGGACTGTGATGATGGGTTACTCCCACCATAAAAACCAGTCCTACTGGATGAACTCGTCTCCAGCGTCGAAGAGTGAAAGGTCCGAGAGTCTTGGTAACTGCAGTTCCTGTTGGCTTGGCTGGAGAGGTGTCCATGATGGGACATCCAAAGACTTTCTTTGTCTCCGCCCCACTCAGAGGTCCCATCACTGAAGTTCTGGCCAAGGTTTTGCTCAGGAAACAGTGCCCCATTCTTGCGAGACCGCCTCTTCCTCTTCGGCTTCTCCATGGAGTCGGGCTCTGGCCGGCCCCTTTTTCGTGGGTGAACAGGGTCAGCATGCATGGCTGCTCCTGGGGCTGCCTTCTTCTTCTTGCCGATGCCTTCAAAAAAATCACTAAAGGAGCAGCGAGGTGACCGGGCAGAGTGGCCCCCTCCACGTCCAAACCCGCCTCCTTTACCACCACGTCTGCGGAAACCTTGGACCCGGTGCAAAAAGTGGGAGATGCTTTGAGTGTCTGGGGCTTGGTGGATGGAGTCTGGCTCACTTGGGGTCCAGCAGCGAGGCGGGGAGCAACGAGCCGAGCACTGGCTCTGGCGGTTTAGGAAGGCAAGCTTTGCCAGGACATCAGAGTAATCAGCTTTACTATCATTGGTGTCGGCGACATACGAGGGCTGTGGTGATGCCAGTTTCTGTTTCCTCCTCCTCCGCTTTTTCACTTCTGGGTTGGGTTCCTTGGGTTTGCAGGGACCCAGCATCAGGTTTTTGGGGGGTCTCCCCCGCTTGCGCTTCAGGATAATAGGCATTTCACCTGGAGGAAAGACCACCACCACATTACGACCATTGTTCTTCATCTTCAGCAGCGGAGTTGGCTCCAACGAGCTGCAGGTTGTGAGCTCTTTGCCTTCCAGGTTCAAGTTGCTGTTGAGGGAGGACACTTTGTATGTCGTCTTGTTCCTCCTCCCAAGGGAGACAGGGATCTTGGCCATCTTCACCACCATCCTTCGCACTCCACGGCACTTGGGTTTTTGGACCTGCAGGTTGGCGGCTGGTTTCTGGCCATCTTCAGGTTCCAGTGGGGAAACGATGGGCTCCATCACTTCTGCTGTCACCGGCATCCTGACTTCATCTGGTTGTGCCATCACCACCTCCACCGGTACAGCCATGGGGAGGACTCTGTTCTCAGCTACAATCTCTGCCCGCCGGCCCCGGCCACCTCTCCGCCGGCGGCAGAGCATCTTTGGTTTATCTGTTCTACGTAGAGCATATTTCCTGTGATCATCCCTTCCCCGCCCTCCTCCTCGCCTTACTACTCCTCTCAGGGAGCAGCCTCCAAGGTGGGAGCTGGGCTGCAGCGAATGTGCTCCTAGGGACTCATCTGTCCCTAGCTGGGGCTGGGAGTCTAACAACTTGGGCAGGGGGCCTAGCAGCTGGGCTTCCGGATCCAGAAGCTGGGCTTGGGAGTCGAGCAATTGGTGGTCCAGAGTCCCTAAAGACTGGAGCTCTAGTGGCTCAGAAAGGGGTTCCAGGGACTGAAGTGATAGTGATTCAGACAAGGGCTCCAGATTCTGCAGCTCCAAATGCTCCAGAGTCTGCAGCCCCAGTGGCGCAGGCAGTGGCTCCACCGTCTGCAGTGCCAGCGGTTCTGGAGGAGGCTCTAAAGACTTAGAGTCTACTAGCTGAGGCTGGTGTTCCAGAGACTGTGAACCAATTAACTGGGACCTTGAATCTAGCCCCTGGCTTTGCAGTAACTGGGAGTGGGGCTCCAGATGTTGATGATCTATTAACTGGGGGCCTGGGCATGCCAAAGAAGCCAGTTCGCTCAGGATATCTGTATCAGCCAGCTCGGGATAATCAGTGGTATCAGATTCCGAGCTGCTAGCTTCATCTATGCTGCTTGATGATGCCTTCAAAGCAGGGCTACTCTGGGTGGCTGGGTAGTGGGCACTCTGAGTGTCCCCCTCTGACTCTCCTTCACAGATGCCAGTGGGTCGGGTCTGCTTGGGCAGCTCAGCTTTGGTGCTGCCCTGCACTGCTACCTCCTCGGGGCTACGGATGCTGCTGGCAAGCATGGGTGAGGAGTAGAAGCTGTACTGCAGGCCCTGATCCTGGCCTTCCTCGTTGAGTGGTGGGTGGCTGTTAAGCTCTAGGCCACTGCAGTCCAGGTGAACGCCACAGCTCTTCAGGTCCTGGGAGAGGCGGTTGATATCCTTCATGATGTCTATGAGCTGCACCACAGGGTAGAGGTTGATACGGCCATTTCCACACTTGCTCTTTAGCAGCGAGATGATGTTGTCAATGTTGCACCTTCCTGAGGCCAGAGTGGCATTGGAGAAGGTCTTGGCAGCTCTGTCATGCGTGGCTGTCTCATCTAGGCCCCGGGTGTCAACAGGGCAGCCCAGAACATTGGCCGACGGCAAATCCTCTGCCTTGGTGCTGCCATGGGCGTGAAAGCTCTTGTACCGGTCAGCCGTCTCCGCATGACGCAGTGAGCTAGACTTGTGCTCACGGCCTAATGCTGAACAGGAACCTTCAGGAAAGCTGAGCATGCTGAATGACAAGGCTTTTTCAGCCAGACACGCTGAAACCTTTTGACCAGGGTGCCCTGCCTGGTATAACTTTGGCTCTTGGGAGTAATCAGAAGAACTGCGGATGGCGCCTCCTGCTGGTGGGACTGACGGGCCCTGTGATTTCAGGCGCTTCCTAAATTCTTCTTCACCGGCATGCCTCTTGGCAGAACAGTTGCTGGGATGTACATCTGCAAACGTGGAACCTGGACCTGGAACAGGCAAAGAGGAGACATTAAGTTTGTCATGTTAATTGGTTCATGTAGAAGTGTGTGATAGACTTCAATATAAGACAGCATTCACTTCTGGGGCTTCATGGAGGATGCTATTACAGTGGTACCTCGGGATGCGAACGGGATCTGTTCCGGAGCCCCGTTCGCATCCTGAATGGAACGTAAGATGTGACAGCGCATCTGCACGTGCGCGGGTCGCGTTTTCCCGCTTCTGTGCATGCGTGTGACATAATTTTGAGCGTCTGCGCATGCGCGAGCGGCGAAACCCAGAAGTAACGTGCTCCGTTACTTCTGGGTTGCCACAGAGCACAACCCGAAAGCGCTCAACCTGAAGCACATTCAACCCGAGGTATGACTATTGCTATTATTTAAATTTGTTAGTCGTTTTATCTTGCCCAGGACAACCCAAAGCAACCTACAGCCAAACAAACAAACAAACAAACAAACGGACAATAAACCCAACATAGATACGTTAAAACCAAGAGGAAAGAGAAATACATTAAAAATATCCCACCCACTTCTAAAAGGCCACAAATAATTAAAGTCCTGGTTAATAGAGAGGAAAGTTTTTGCCCGGTGCCTAAAAATATGTAATGAAGGCACTAGGTGAGAGCATTCCACAAATGGGAAGCCACGGCAGAAAAGGCTCATTCTCATGTTGTCACCCTCCAGATGGTCCTCAGATGATGAGCACAGTTTCTGAGTGTAGGCTCACATGGGGAGAGCTGGTCCTTGGGGTATTGTGGCCCTAAGCAGTTTAAGGCATTATAGGTCAAAGCCAGCAGCCCAGAAACTGATTGACAGCCAGTGGAACTGGGTCAGGATTGGTGCTATATGCTCAAACCATCTTGCCCTGGTGATCAACCTGGGTCAAATTCTGCACCAGTTTCTGGATTGTCTTTGGAAGCAGCCCCATTTACCACACATTACAGTAATTTAACCTAGGGGTTACCAGAGCATAGATGGCAGAAGTTAGGCTATTCCTGTCCAGATGCAACCCATGCAGACAGAGCCCAATGCAGGAGAACAAATGTGCATGTGTTACACAACAAATGAACTGTACAGAAGGGTCCTCAGCACCATTTGTTTCACTGCTGCTTTGCAAGAGAAGAGTGGGGTGAAATTACAAAGTCCACAGCATAGAACTCACCCTCTGCTTTGCTGTTCCTGCTGTTACACTTGAATTCTCTGTGGAGAAGGAAGACAAAAAAGAAGAAGTTTAGCCTGGAGAACAATCAGAGCCACCCTTTGCAGTCCTTCCTGTCGGTGGCTCACTCATGTCAATCTCGTTCTGCAACAAGGGACCCAAATCTACAGCTGGGCATTTAGTTGTACAAATATCCTCTTAGTTTTCTGGTGCCCCAGTTCTGCACAGACAAGCAGTGTGGGCGTGGAAAGGTGACTTAATGAAAGAAGGCATGGCTGGCTGACACCTTGAACAGGAGCACTCCACCATATTATTTTGCTGGTCCCACCTGTGGTTCTGATTATTATCCCACCTCAGAAGGGTTTTCTCCCATTAGCACTGTGCCTTTTCACCTCAAACCAATACCTTCTTTTGAGAGGGTTGCTCTTAACAGTGTTTCTGGGCTATGACTGATAACGAATTGCTGGAACACCTTTATACTTCACCAGTCGCCCTTGAGGGCCCCAAAATAGGTATGATGGGGGATTTCTTTTTTGGAGGAGGAACCCCCAAGCACTTTAAAGCAGGTACAATGCCCTTTTCTGACTGGAGCAGATGTGCTCAGAGAACAAGAGTTGTTTTTGCTGTCTAATATCCCTCAAATGCTGCTATTACCCCTAAAGTAACAAACAAACAAACAAAAATACTAGCACAGCACAGATATCTGCATTTCGTTCTAATGCAGAGCTAATAGAAGCTATTTCTGTAGCTAATTAAGTGGGAGGGGGAGCTATTTAGATTGAGAATATGGCACCAAGGAAAGGGTTAAACATTCAATTCACCCCTGGCTGCTTTATAGGCAAATATAACAACTCTCCCACAGCATGCCTGTTTTGGCCCTGATTCTCAAAGGGAATAAAACAAGTCATTGTGAGGTTCCACTACAGTGGAGATTCTGAGGAAAATCCACCTCTCCCAAACATGGCTGCTTCATCTTATGAAGATTTTAACTATGACCGCTTACTCAAGCGCCATTGAGCTCAGTGGTGGTTACTGCCTGGTAGGTGTGTTTAGGGCTGCACTCTTTAATGTGGGTCAGGTAGCTCTTACTACCCAGCTTTCACTCACATTCAGACAGACAGACATTCAACAGGTGCAGTCATGAGGGAATTGAATTGTTTTTATTTCTGTCTGTCATTTAAAAGCTCAGAGCCTCTGTCGAGAGTGGAGGTGGGTAACTCTGACCGAAAAGAAGAAAAAAAGTTGATATTTCAGATGCATGCCAATGGTGGAAATGGAAACTATAAGCATGGATTGTATGATGGTGGAGGAAGGCAGATATTCTGGATGTATTAACAGGAAGTCAAGTATCTGGTTTATGTAGCACAAGTCATTTTTGGCTACAGGCTCTTGCAGCCACGTCTCCACTAGGTGTCCCTGATGAGCTACAGATCCCCTTCCAAGCCGCCATGTCTGTCAAATGGTTAAAACCCCCTCCCAAAGTTATTCCCACTTTCCGTTTAAACTTTCTGACCTGGCTGTGCTACTTCTCTGGCCTGACAGAAAGCCCTCTTTGTGCGGTTCCCCTTTTTGTGCGACAGAAGCAGAGCACTTTCCTTGCCCAGAGCCGGCTGAGGGAACGCACACCTGGCACCAGAAGGCCCCCCCCCCTTTTATATATAGTATCAGTTACACGGTCTGTGCCTCCCCACGCTCTGGAAAGAAGGGCGACAGAAGGAAGGAAGGAAGGAAAGAAGGAAGGACACAGAGAAAGAGAGTGACGCTGAGGAAAAGAATGGAAGTTCTTTGTGTGCAACTTTCTCCTTGGCGGGGAGAAGGGAGGCCCATGCTGAACATTCACCATTCCAGCCTAGCCCCAAAGGGCCGGCCTCCACTTCAAACGAGTCTCATCCCTCAGACTGTGGCAACCCTAGTCTGTCTGGGGAAGCCTTGCTTCAGACTGGCTGCACGGACGACAACCGGCCTACGCTGAGGCCAAGGGAGCTATGACTACACATGAAGCAGAACATGTGTATCGCCTCTGTCTTTGCAGGCTTTACTGGCGGAGGGGAGCAGCAAATGGCGTCTTCGTCCTCTGCTCCAACCCCACCAGCCCAAAAACACAGCACCCAAAGAGCGTCATGCTTTTGTGGCCCCTGAGATAGAAAACTCCACAAGTGCCCCACCCGGCAATAAAAAAACAAAACAAACAAAACACCCCAGTAATAATTTGCCGTCCTGTCATGACACCACAAAGCCAGCTGCCTGGGTGGACTGTTTCGCTCTCCCCAGTAGAGGCAAGTTCAGCGTCTACTGGGGCAACTTCAGCCTGCCTTCAGCCAGCGCCCAGCTTACACACAGCCATTCTGGGAGTGGCACCGACTGCCCGCATCCTCCTCCTGAGTCTCAGTGTTGCCTTTGCAGAGGATGGTGGCAACAGCAGGATTAGTTGGTTTCACCTACTGTTGTTGCAGTTATTTCTTATATTTATCAGTAGTTTTTTTTAAAAAAAAACAACCCCAAAAACCAAGCCCTGAAAACAAATAGAAAATGTAGAGTAAGAAGAACCCCAAATGGTCACTGTAATACAAATAAAGGAGCAGTTCCAACTCAACCTCCCCTCTTAGAATATATGCAAGGCCTAGCTGAATAAACATGTTTTTGCCTGGCACCTTAACACAGGTAGTGATGGCAGCCATGGCTTCCCAGGGAGAGCATTCATCAATGAAAGAGCCACCATGGAGAAGCCCTGCTTTGTGCCACTAGAAGAAGAAGAGTTTGGATTTGATATCCTGCTTTATCACTACCTGAAGGAGTCTCAAAGCAGCTAACATTCTCCTTTCCCTTCCTCCCCCACAACAAACACTCTGTGAGGTGAGTGGGGCTGAGAGACTTCAAGAAGTGTGACTAGCCCAAGGTCACCCAGCAGCTGCATGTGGAGGAGCGGAGATACGAACCCGGTTCACCAGATTACAAGTCCACCGCTCTTAACCACTACACCACACTGGCTCTCACTATCCTCTGCACCTCCCTTGGGAGGAGGCAGACAAAGAAGGATCTCAGATGAAGAATGAAAGGTCTAGGTTGCTTCATCGGGGAGAGGTGGTCCTAGAGATGATCCAACTACTGGCCGCCTGAGCATGAGCTTCCACAATCTCTGCCTAGGGTTGCCATACATCTGGGAAATCCTGGACACATCCTCTTTGGGGGGGCCAATATGCCCATCCAGGGGGATTTTTACATTTTAAAGGAAATGTCTGGGTTTTGGGGGGAGTTTTTCGGCTCAGGTGTGGCAGCTCAGGCTTGGGCTGCTCTGCACGCCGTGGCCACTGCCAACCCGAGCCGGGGAAAGAGGGGTGCAGGCATGGCGGCAGTCCACATGCCCACGCACCTCTTTCCCCAGCTTGGGCTGGCAGTGGCTCGGGCTGTCCTCTTCTTTGCTCTTCAGTATATGGCAACCCTGTCTCTGCCTAATGGTAGGGACAGGTCCTGGTTCGCTTGAAGGCCTAGTCCTCACAGGGTTGAGCGACCATATTGTCTTCCCATGGGCATCTGGTTGGCAACTGTGAGAAAAGAAGGCAGGACTGGATTGGCGTTCGGTCTGATACAGCAAGGCTCTTCTTATGCCTGAATTGCATCACTTTAGACTGTGGGTAGAGGTTCATATGACGGAATGTTCCTTCATTCAAAAGCATTCCCTGCTGACAGAAGCCTTGCATGTTAGTGGGAAGAGATTCTCCCCTAGCCTTCAGCTTAAGAGCTACTTTTCTGTGTACAGAGGGTTGTTCTGGAGGAGCATTTGGTCATTATAGTCTCAGGGATTGCTTCTCTCCATATGAGCCTACCTGGACCCTGAGATCATCTTCTGAGGCCCTTCTTCATGTGCTTCCTCCATGTGAGGTCCAGAGGGTGGCAACATGAGAATGGGCCTTTTCTGCAGTGGCTCCGTTTGTGGAATGCTCTCCCCAGGGAAGTTCATCTGGCACCTTCATTATACACATTTAGGCACAAGGCAAAAGTCCTTTGGTTGAGTGACATCTGATATCTGATACCGTTTCAAATGTGGGAGGGGGGGATTACACTGGTCAACAACAAATTTGTTGTCTTCATTTTTTCAGTTGATTTAGGACGAATCTGATGCGCTGAATCCAAAAATCACATTGGTTTTGCTCAATCACGTCAGGTTTTTGAGCTATGGCCACATGTCGTTTTTTTACATTTTTGTTCACATGTACGCTTGTGTGGAGCATTTTAGAAGAAGTTGGTGGGGGTAAAATGCCATGTCGAATAATTGTTTTGATTGAAAATGATTATTTTAATGTCAAGAAGTATTCAGGTCTGATAGTTCTGGGTGATTATGTCGAAAAGGGATTAGTTTAAAGTCATAAAACCTCGAAATCTTCCATAAATTGGTGCGGCAAAGCATAAAGTTGCTTACCATGCTTATTTTGGTATTAAACTTGGTGACAAGGATAAAGCCTGGGTGCCACACATGGTGTGCAAGGCATGCACCAAGACTCTACGTGGGTGGACCAATGGCAAGAGAAGTCTGAACTTTGGAATTCCCATGGTTTGGAGGGAGTCGACAAACCATGTCACTGACTGCTACTTCTGCACTGTTGATGTGACTGGGATCAACAGAAAGAACCGGAGCAGCCTCAAGTATCCTGATCTTCAATCAGCACGTCGTCCTGTAGCTCCTTGTGATGAAATTCCAGTGCCTATCTTCGGAGAACTTCCTGACATTAGTGACGAAGATGCCTCCAGTGTTGAAGGACATGAAGAAGAAGAAGTGGTTCTTGAAGATGATGCTCCACATCCATTTTCCCAAAAGGAGTTGAACGATCTAGTTTGTGACCTCAGCTTGTCAAAGGACTCTGCCGAACTGTTGGCATCCAGATTGAAGGGAAAAAACCTCCTCTCTGACAGTGCTCACATCAGCTTCTTCCGCAACAGGCATCAAGAGTACCTCCGTTTTTTCTCAGAAGAGAAGGACTTGGTGTACTGTGCAGATATTGCGCAGCTTCTGCTCAAGCTTGGAGTGCCACAGTACGAACCCAAAGATTGGAGACTGTTCATTGACAGCAGCAAGCGATCACTGAAATGTGTTCTGCTACACAACGGCAACCAGTTTGCCTCTATACCCCTGGCTCACTCGAGTACACTGAAGGAGAACTATGAAGCGGTGAAGTATGTGCTGGAGAAAATTGGTTATGATCAGCATAAGTGGTTTATTTGTGTTGACCTGAAGATGGTGAACTTTTTGTTGGGACAACAGTCTGGCTTCACCAAGTACCCATGTTTCCTATGCATGTGGGATAGTAGGGACCGTGCTCAGCATTACACGAAGAAGGACTGGCCTGAGCGGGAGGAATTGGTGCCTTGCAAAGAAAGGAACGTCATCAACGTTCTGGACAGAGACAGAATACTCTTCCCACCGCTGCACATCAAGCTCGGCTTAATCAAGCAGTTCACCAAGGCTCTGGACAAGGATGTTGACTGCTTCACTTACTTGTGCCAGGCTTTTCCAGGATTGACCATGGAGAAGTTGAAAACTGGCATCTTTGACGGTCCTCAGATCCGTCAGCTCACCAGAGATCCAGAGTTCAGAAACTCAATGAACGAAGTGGAACTGGAAGCGTGGAAGGCATTTGTTCTGGTAGTGAAGAACATTCTGGGCAACAATAAGGCCAGAAACTACGTAGAACTTGTCAACAACATGCTGACTGCTTTCAGAAACCTGGGCTGCAACATGAGCATCAAGATGCACTACCTATTTTCACATATGGACCGGTTTCCTGAGAACCTGGGTTCAATGAGTGACGAGCAGGGGGAGGGATTCCATCAGGACATGAGAGAGATGGAGACCAGGTATCAGGGTCACAGGGACGCAGTCATGATGGCTGACTACTGTTGGACTCTGAAGAGAGACCTCCCTGCCGCTTAGCATTCCAGGAGTTCCAAGAAACGGAAGTTCAAGCCCTGAAGTTTGAAAAATAGTGACGCAACATGCAATTTACGTGTACTTACCTTTATCAATGCCCACCATTCAGTTTACAGTAATCAATGTTTCTATCAGGTAATCAATATATGTTGTTGGAAAAACATTTTTTTCTCTTAAAAACATATTTAGGATGATATGTGTTGACAAAAATCAGCTGATAATGCCACAAAAATGTAATCGATTTTGTCACAAGATCTGATTTTTTTCAAATCAACATAACAAAAAAACCTGACCTGATGGAGAGAAACAGATGCCATTTCCTGATTCAGCAGTGCAAAAATACCCTAAATCATTTGTAGAAATCTAGACAACATTCAAAAAGTAAAAAATTGTTGCCCAGTGTTATTTGTTTGGTTTTCTTCTTCTTAATATTATATATATTGTGTTTTTTATATTGTAATTTTATGTTGTGAACTGCCCTGAGTTCTATGCATAAAGGGCAGTATGCAAATCTAATAAATAAATAATTGGAGTTTAAAATTGTACAGCCCAAACTCCTTAAGGAAATTTGAGCTGGCTCTAACCAAGCTGTGTGGTGTGTGTTTCAGACCCTATACACTGAGACTGGCTCCCTAAATACTGCCAGGCAAATAGAGTTTTTTGTGTTGCTTGGCAGGTAAACTGTTTTAATGGGATGAACTCAGTTTTTATCTGCTGAGCCTGTCTCCATTTTATATTGTTTTTATTGTTTTATTATGATATTGTGATTTTTAATTGTTGTAAGTCACTCTGACTCATGCATATGCATTAGAAGGGTGGAATATAATTTTCAAATAAGTAGATGGATAGATATAAAAGAAAGAATATCATATGATAATCAGAGTTCAGCCAAGCTGCCTGGTTCAACACATTGTATACCCCCATGCAATTATGCGTGGGAATATGAGTCAGGGGCTGTAGATCAGTGCTGAAGATCTGCCTTGCATGCAAAATGTTCCAGATTCAATCCACAATGGTCTGGTAAGTATAGGAACGTAGGAATCTGCCTTACACTAGGTCAGTTTATGTGTCCATCTAGCCAAGTATTGTCTGCTTTGACTGGCAGCAGCTCTCCAGGGTCTCATATCACCTGTGCCTGAGCCTTTCAAGTGGGGATGCCAGAGGTGGAATCAGGGATCTTCTGCATGCAAAGCAGTGCTTTACTACTAAGCTAGATAGAGTCCTTGATTACTAAGATGTCTGAGTGCCCTGGGGTGGGGAATAACAGCACAATTAAGTTCAACAAAACAGTAAACTTTAAAATAATAAAAACACATATTAAAAGTTTACTGTTGTGTAAGTGATGTGTTTATGCAGCAATATTCTTTTTTTAAAAAAACAACACAATAGCATCTTGAGCTCTTATTGGTAGGACAGGCTATGAATAAAAAGTAGAGGACATAAAATATAAAAGTAAGTTTTGCTCAAGGTAAGAAATACATTCCCAAAATGGCAGAAAGAGCCATTGGGACTTTCCTTTCTCACCAGCCTCTTTAACTGAGGGTCCAGGAGAGCTGGGGCTGATGGGAGTTGTAGTCCAAAACATCCAGAGGGCATCAGGTTGGCAAAGGCTGCTGCAAATCTTTCATCTCACTCAGCCATTAGTGGATACAAACACACATAACAAAGGAAGAACTGGATACCTTGCCAGGGGGCCTTACTTTCTGTTTCCAGGGCCATAAACCTACTTTGCTTTCCCATTTATAGGGCAACTGATACCACCAAGGTAAAAGCAACTTTGAAGGTAACTTTGTTGTTGTTGCTAGATTTATATTAGTTGCAATGGGCGTAAATCAGAAGCCCGAGCTTCTGATGGCACTCAGAGGTTAACAATGGAAGTGGTGGGATTACTTCCAGTGATAATCAAAGTCTGGCTCTGTTTTTACACACTGCCACAAACCACTCTACACATGTGGTGCTGGCAGGATGCCAATGGCAGGATGCAGACCGAGTCCCACATGTGCCAGGAGGATCTTTTCACAGCATTGCCACAGAAGTGGCTGGAAGTCAGCAGAGGTCAGCACTTTCCTGTGGCCGCTATGGGCTGAGATGGTTGAGACTTCTCCTCTCTTAAGTCATACAGTCAAAACGTACAAAGGAAGCACGTCCCCCCCTTGCCCTTTCCATTGTTATGTTTGCATTTTTTTAAAAAACTGGTTCATGAATGTTTGTTTTTGCATCCATTCTCCATACTTCATGAAACATCATTAAAGTTTGCAATACTGATGGAGGAACTGGAGTGAGAGAGATATGCTGGCCATATTATGGGTGCTAGACAATTGGTACTTTCTTCCGCTGCCTTCTCCCCAGTCTATATTCACCATGCTGGAAATTTGCAGAGCTAGTTTAGCAGAGGTCATTCCCAAAAGAGGAAGACGAGTCTTTGTAATGAGCCTGTGGGGAGGGACTTTGTTAAACTATCTGTGGTGTTAGACCTGCCTTCATCCTGAAATAAACTACTTATGAGATGTTCCACAAGATGTGCTGAAAAAGCTCCTGGTGCACTGTGCTCTCTTTGAGCAACAGGGTGCTTGAATCTGTGACTGTGCACAAATACATACCTTCTCTGACATTTACAGTTTGATCTGCAGGGGTACATGCCACCAGTTCAAACACTGATTAGTCATTTGTTTTGCCTCTTTCCCCATGTTTCAGACAGGCTATCTGCCTTTTTATGGCAAGTGTCGTTTGTAAGTTCACGTCAATGAAACTCCATTCAAGGCTTTTAAAATATTTTTTTGTTTTTAAGTAACAGAACTGAGGGTGGGGGGTGGGAAGGTAGATTCATATTGCCACAAACACTGGACCGTCAGCGCTGTGCAAAACCCACTTCTGTTGCAAAGCAGAAGAACCAATTTCGCCTAAGTTTGACCTGGGAGAAAATCTGTTTTGTTTAAAACAGACTGTACTGAATGCACTTCCAGGGCGTCCTACTGCTCAAGCAATGTTTCGTCATTATGCACCCTGTGTTTTAAAGCCAACTAGCCCGGTGTGTGCCCTTGTATGATGATTTAACCTTGTTTCCCAAAACCTGGGCAGTTTCCTTTAAAACCTCAATGAGTGATATGAGAAACATTTTGGCTTTCAGTTTTTAACAAGGTATGTTTCCAGTCCAGAGACTCCCAACTGGTGGGTCAAGATTCCACCAGATTGGAAGTTGTGCATGGTTCCCCAGGAAGCACATTTAATGAGTTCAGGTATTTATACTTTACTCTGTATATCTCACAGCTAACAGAATATATTCTAACTCCTTTTGTGTGGTTCTGTCAGTTCTATTATTTGTTAAAAACGGAATAGAACAAAGAATCCACCAGTCCAGTGTGTTGCAAGGACTTTCTGTAAAAGCGCTGACAGTGGTAGGCATTGGGACACTTGCCCCATAAGTGTTGCAGGAACAACTTGTGATTCACCACATGGAGCAAATGCACACAGATAGAGCTGTTTCTGACAGCTGTGACCTAGCAAGGTCTTTGCACTGGTTAAACTATGGAATTAGCTCCCTCAAGAAGTAGTGATGGCCACCAACCTGCATAGCTTTAAAAGAGTAGACATAAATTCATGGAGGATAAGACTGTCAGTGGCTACTAGCCAAAGTGGCTACTTTCTGCCTCAGCTGTTGGGAGGCAGTATATCTCTGAATACCATTTGCTGGGGCTCACAAGTGGGGCAGTGCTGTTGAACTCTGGTCCAGCTTGTAGGCTTCCCACAGACACCTAGTTGGCCACTGTGAGAAGAAGATACTGAGCTAGATGGGTCATATGCATGTTCTTCAGGACTCAGGAAATAGAGTGTGTGAAATATCAACCCTTGTCATTAGTAGGTAGCACAAAGCCTCTGGCCTGGCCTGGCCTACTATAAATAATGGCCGCGTTCCTCTCCTGGTAAATTCTCTTACCCAGCTCCTGACTGTAGGGGTTCTGGACTGGAAATGTTATTCTCCAGATCTAGATTCAGAGAAATTCACTAACGCAGCCTAGTCTTGACACTTCCACTGATTCTGTGGCTGAATATTGCAATGCACAACTGGGAAACACAGGAACGTGTTGAAGGAATTTCTTGTTAAAGAGCTAAGCTGGAAGTGGGAAGCAGCCCCCACCAAGGTTACATGCAATTTCTCTGGGTGGACTGCGCCACCTCCACTGACCCAATGATCCCCATCTCCACTCTGCAAAGTCTGCCATGTGGACCAATGGGGGATAGGCACAGTTGCCATTCTGAATGAGTGCATCCAAGCCCTGATGGGAAAATGCCATGTGGTTATGCCCTCAGGCTCCAGTCTGGTGGGTAGCAGCTCCAGGCTTGCAGGCTGCACTAAAAGGAGGCTGAGGTGGTTCCAGGCCTGGTGCTGGAAAAAGAGGCTGAGCCACAGCAAGAACAGAAGGGAAGAACATTTCCCCTGAGAACAAGCCAGCCCAGCTCAACAGAATGCCTCCTTTCTCCCTGTCCCACTCTGTGCTGCAAAAATGCAATTGCATACTGTTTAATGCTTTTAATTTACAGCTACCTTCTGCATTACAAAGTGTTGGTTTTTCATGCCGTTCTGAGAGCGGGAGATGCAGCATGCAACTATCTTAAAGAAATAAAACAATCAGATACATCCTATATACCAGGAGTAGAGAGCCTATGGATCTGTAGATATTGTTGGACATCTCTCATCAGCCCAGCCAGCTTGGTCAATGGTCAGAGATGTTTGAAGCTGCAGCTCAACAACATCTGGAGGGCAGCAAGTTCCACACCCCTGTTATATACTAATAGCAACTGCATTATCCAAGTGCTTATCCTTTTGTAGCCAAAACAGCACCACCCATGCACAAGAGAGAAGTGACAACAACAAAGAATACAGAAAAAACACAAATTTAAAAGAAGAAAAATTCTGCTTGATGTTGTGGGGAGGCACTCCCAACAAAAGTTCAATGAGGACGGAGTGTGCTCTATGGGCATGGAATGCTGATGGGCTGTGGGGCAGGGTAGAGAAAACTAGTAGGAAGGGAGAATAGAGTATCCTGGGAAAGGACATGGCTGGCAGGCTTTTTGAACAGGAACATTCCACACTGCAAAATTTTGCTGCAGTTTCCACTTGAAATAAATACTGCAATAAATAGAATGGAAGGGAGGTATAGCTCTACTCAACCATAATATGTTGATGTAGCAAGTGGTACAATTCTTTTAGCCAAAACATAAGGGTGCATGGGTAAATGATAAGTGGCATGCTATCCTGACTTTTTCCCCTAAAAGAAAAAGCTTAATCCATACAATGGGGCTCAACCAAGGCACAGCTAAACATATTTTCAAATCCTACAGATTTCAATTTGGGAATTAAAGTCTGTGCTGCTGAAATCCCAGGAATTGTTTTAAAATAATGCTTAACTTTGGCTGGATTATTTATTATCATTAATTACATTTCTACACTGCCCTTCATCTGAGGATCACAGGGCGATTTACCACCTCATGCAAGGTGATGGGTACTCTGAGCTACTTATTTATATTTGGAAAGATGCTACTATGGGAAAGGGTTAACATATCCAGGGCACCTGCATGTGGGAGGGGGGAGGCATTAATGGCTTTGACTCCCAACGCACACCATTCCTTATGAAACAAGTAGGGCAGAGAATGGAATGGCGGATCCACAGGCATGAGCTATGCTACATTATCACTCAGAGAGGCTCACATTGTATTTTTGGAGATGGAGAAGTGTAGGTCAAGATGTGCCTCTTCAACGGGGCGGCTGGGAGGGAGGCAGTCCAGCCTCCTTCCATTCTCTCCTCCCGTGCCTCTGCACTCTCAACCCCCCACCCATAAACATCTTCCCCATGTTGTTTCACATACTGTATTGTCCAGCCTCTTCTTGTTCCTCTTCCCTTCAGTCTTGGCACTGAAACCTTTTCCACTGCAGGCCCCAGCCAGCCTGCTAGCGAGACACAGCCTTCCCTCCTTCCCTCTCGCTCAGCTCCAGGAGGGCTCCAGAGCTCAGAGCGCCTCTACAGGAAGTGACCTCAGTTCTTTGGCAGGCTTTGCCATGTTGCACCTACAGGAGCCATCTGCACCGTTCAGCAGGCTCCTCTCTCCTCTTCCTCCTCCTCCTCCTCCTCCCCACTTTGTGAAGGACCATCACCCTTCCGCCTTAGATCTGCTCAGATCTTTTCAAAAGGGCTGTTTTTGCTTCATTTTCTAGATTCTCCGATTTTTCTGTCCCCTGCCTCCAAACTTCCTGACACTGTCCAGTACGGGTAAGAAGGAAGGACTCCCATGTCTGCCGCAGACCTGGCTTTCCTCCTGATTTTCCGTACACTCCCACCCCGTTCTTGTGAGAACACTCCTTCTTTCGCTCCCCTCCCCACCTCTGCTTCGCTGTTTCCAGGCAACTCTTGGCCAGATGTGGAGTGAGAAGGGTCAGGGAGGCAGTAGCTGTGCACAGCAGGGATCCACAGAGCCCTTGAGGGCAGCAGGGAGGGAGGGTGTTGGAGGAACCAAGATCTCTCTCCTCTAGAGCACTTCCTCAGCCCCCTCCCCCTTTCTATCAAAAGGGCTGAAGATAACAGGAGGAAAGGGAGCGCTCTTTAGGGAGCCAAGAACCGGGATGTGTGTATTCAGTCATTACACTGTGCAAAGAATAAACCCAGTACTACTGAGCATTCAGAATTCTCAGACTCTGCTCACTTTCTAAAGACAAACCCAAGTTTCTAGTCCCTAAGGCAGCCAGAAGAGGTCTATACGGAGATTCAAGAATCCCGGTTTTTCTTGCAGTTTTAAATAGTTTGTTTGCAGCCTTGTGTTTCGATGCTCAGGATCAGCATTGGGAAATCTCCTAGATGTCTGGTTGCACTGTGCTTCAAAATATATCTCCTCCCTCCAATGAGACAAAGTTTTCCCTTTTCCTGACATGTTACCTTCACAACCATCCTGCGAGGTAGGTTATGGTGAGAAAGCAAGCTTTGTGGATGCATGGTCTGGTTAAGGGTCAACCAATGTGAGCAAACTGGCATGGTGAATTACGTTTGGCATGCAGTGAGGCCCAGCTCCCTCCCAACAACATACACAAGCCTGCAACCAAGACGATATTTGCTTATGAAGTGGCAAACACGGGACCGAGTCATGACATGTCTAGGAAGTGAAAGCATCATGAAGTCACAGCTCTACCCTGGGCTGAGGTTTGGCCAACACTACACAAATTTACAGAAGAAAGGGTGGCAAAATACTTGTAGATGAATGCATGGCACTACTTGGGGCAGCATGCCAGGCGACACCTTTTTTCTTAATGGTTCCATACACTAATGTTTAAAAAACCCAAACTTTCCCTACAAATAAAAGACTAGCATGGCAGGCAAAGAGCTAGGTCAAGACCTCTCTGATATGCTAGTTTTCTGCTTTCAGGGAACTCTGTGTAGATCTCTGTGTTTTAAACACTGGGTAAGCCTATTCAAAATTGGCATCCCTCTCTGGTCTGCAAGTGGTAGAGACCAATCAACTATCTGATGCTGCTGAAAACATAGGCTAAGCTTGAGTTTGAGCCCAATCCAGTGAACCCACATCCCCCACCTATTTAGCTTTGCTTGCCTGTTCAAATCAATATGGAATTTTTAGAGCAGTGGTAGGACTCCTCAGGAATCAGGGGTTGGATGCAGTCCTCCAACTTTCCCTAACTGGCCCTTGGAATACTCCCTAGGCCACACTCCTGCTCCAGACCACACCCTCTACTGCCCCTGATTCACATCCGCACTAAGTGATTTTGCCTGGCCGGAACATGTCCTTGAATTCTGATCAGGATTCTCATGAACAAAGGTGAAATTCACATTCGTTGCTCCACCTCTTTTTGCCTGTGGCCCCACCCACCACTGGCATGTGGCCCACGGGTGGTGGTCCAGAAGGGAATGTGGCCCCTGGGCTGCAAAATATTTCCCCATTCATTTTGGAAACACACACACACACGAAAGCATGTTTGATTACCGGCAGGGGGCAAGCAGCAGCAGAGAGGGCCCACTCTCTGCCTTGTTCCCACCCGCTTACCTGGGCCGCCCGTATTTGCAGTGGAGGTTCACCCTGAAGTTTCTCTCGCTGCCGTCCGCCTCGCTGTTGTTGGGCTGCCGCAGCCCCGGGCCCTGGCTGCGCGGGAACCATTCAGCTGGAGGGTTGGCTCCGTTTTCCAGTCCAATGGGCTGGCAGGCGATGGAGCTCCCATCTGTTAAATGGAAGCACACAGACCCGGGCGTGTGAAGCAGCAACAGAGCAGGCAGAAGGTACAAGGAGGAGGAAGGGACAGATCTTTCTTTATATATTAATAATAATAACCAGGAAATTTAATTTCAACGGGAGTGGAGGGCAGCAAGACTACAAAAGCCCAACAGTGCTTTGGCTATGGATATACAGGTGACAGGGCAGATGAGCAAGTGTTTGTGGCGGCAGGCAGGGCAGAAGGAAGAAGGGTGGTGGTATCTCTCCTTCCCCCCTCACTGTCCAATCTTGCAGGCTTTTAGTAAGTTGATGCTGCCTCCTTGTAAAGATAGTGGATGGGGGGGGGGGGGAGAGTGAGGCAGGGGAGTTATGTATATGGCATCACTAAGTGCAGGAAGACATTTTGCTGAATTGTACTTTGTACTGCGAATAACACATATACAGGTCATCTTGGGGTTATTTATTGTCTGTGTCATGCAGGGTATAGAGAATACCATGCCAATTCATGCCCACCCATATTCGCAGCCATGTTTCCCTGCTGCCACCCTCCCGCCGGAACCACAACATCTCTGGCACAACAAATTTGTGCCAAGGCTACAGCCAGATAAGGGGGGGACATTGCGTCTCTCTGTCCAAGGTTTGAGACAGCTCCTGCTCAAGGTCACCAAAAAAAGGAAAGGGTGTGGGGAGGCTTGGCTTTGGTCTATAACAGATGTGCACAAAGGGGCCTGGCTCCTGGAGAATGCAACCCCACCTCGACCCAGAGGGATTATGCTGTGGGTCAGATGTCTCTGCAGCCCTGATAAACACAGACAAAATGTCCGTGCATCCTTCTGCATGCCAGGCCTGGCTGTCACTCATCAGATCCGCCTCATCTCCAGCCCAGGCTCTCTTGGCCTTTCCTTCCTTGTCTGGCTCCCCTCCTCTCCCCTCCCTTCCCTCTCTCTCCTTTTTGTCCATCTCATCATAGCCCTGCAGGGGGATCGGCCAAACTCTATTAGCTACAGTCATCCTGCTGTCTCAAGCTGTGTCTGTGAGTGTGTGTGTGTGTGTGTGTGTGTGTGTGTGTGTGTAATGGGGGGGCATGCATGCTCTGTGCAAGTTATCCCTGTTTGAATCACTAAATGTTGGTGATATGCAGCTTTGCACCTTTGCTCGCATGCCTGGATGTGTGCTATTTTGCAGGCATGCATCTGTGTGTCTATTTATTGAACAGGACATAAAATTCCAACTCGACGAGCTTCACGACTACTTGGCAAGGTAGATCAGGAGTGATCAAGTGTGGCCAATTGGCAGCCTGGGGGCCAGATCTAGTGCCCAAATCTGTTTTATCATGCCTCTGATAACCCTAACCAATATTTAAATCAAGGTGTGGTGTGAATTTTGGTCAAGAGTTTGACGTGGGGAAGAAATGAAAAATTGTTCTCAGACATTGCAATACGTACAGATATTCTACACCTGCCGTGTAGCATCTCTCTTTGGCTTTCATACACACTGTCTCAGCTGCACCCAAATTCATATGCTCGCTATAGCCTTGTTGTTTACTGTTACTGACTTTAAACAACTCCCAAATAAATGAGCTGGGGTTATGAAGACCTTTTCAGACCCAGGGGCCACCTGTAACCTGATGATACATCATGGGGTTCAATTTATTTCCTTTTTTTAAAAAAATTGTCACATGGTCCCCATATTTGCTTCTGCTTATGCAGAGAACGCTCCTGTATCTTTCACTGCTGTACAGAAGAGAGAATTTTGGCAATTGCTGCTTCTTATGCAGTGATGGGAAAAACTGTTCCTGTCAAAATGATTTCATCTTCACAGGCATTTAAAGGAATGGAATTCATTCTTCCAACCACTTCTGATCTCCCCACCCCCTTGTTTCCTTCTCTCTTCCTACTTCTTTTAGAAGATAAATAAAATCCAAAAGAAAAAGAAAAGTTGGTGGTGCCCATGGTGTCACACATCTGGATGCTGTCAGGGCAGGACTCTGGGGCAGAAGATCAAGTACCCACCCATCAGAAAGGCCCCCAATGCAACAGGGCTGGCTTACCACACATTGAAGTAAGTGAAACAGCGCACACTGTCATCCAAAGAGCCCTCCCTGTAAGACTATTTAAAGATGCAACATTATCTAAGGCAGAGGTGGAGAACTTGTTACCTTTCCAGATCTTGCTGAACTACAACTCCCATCATGCCTAACCACTGGACACACTGACTAGGGTTCATGGGAGTTGCGGTTCAGCAATGTCTGAAAAGCCACAGGTTAACCACTCCTGATGTGAAGCAAGGATAGGGAACCTGTGGTTCTCTAGGTGCCACTGGGCTCTCAACTCCCATTAGCCCCAGCAAGCATGGTCACAAGAAATGAGTCCTGGCAGAACATTACTTTGGCTATGTGCACCATTGCCCTCACCCACCAGTTGAAAGTCCATTATCAAGACCCTCCCAAACTGCAGCCTGCCATTGGTTTCCTATTTAATCCATAAAGGAAGTCCAACTGGAAACACAGCACAACTTGATAGAGTGTCCAGCAGTTTTATAAGGCTAAGAAATGTGAAGAATCACAAACACACAAACTTACAGAGAAAATAAAGGCGCTATTTCTGAAAAGATCGAATATAGCACTGAGTTACAGGCGCTTACTTCTGAAAAACAAACAAACAGAAAAAAGCCTCTGCACACCAACTCCTCCTTCTCTGGGATTTGGCTGGCCAAAGTGATGGTCTGACTTGTTTTGATAGTTCCGGATTTTAGGTCATAAAACAGCACCTCTGGCATGTCCAGATGCAATGCCCTAAACAGTGTATTTGAAGGGTCAGCCTTCCCTCACATGAGCCTGCCCATGGTGCTCTTCAATGGAAGCTTTGCTCTGTGCCCTACAGCTGTGCTCAGGAGCCCAGTTGGGTGGGCATGACCAGATGGTGGAGCTTCCTACCTTGGGAGGCCTGCATGGTCTCCTTTCTGATGACTTTCAAATGTTAAATCCTCTCTCTTTTTACCAGTTCTTGGGACTGACAAACATTTTGCTTTTATTCTTTCTATTGTATTATTTTATTACATCTATATCCCACTTTCTTCCTTAACAGAACCAAAGATGGCATACATGCAGTTCCAAGGTAGTCACCAATCCAGGTACTGACCATACCATGGGCACATAAAGTTATGTTTTTAACTTGTGATTTTGAGCTGCTTATGGGCATGTGAAGTCAAAAGGCAGGACAGAAATATTTTATTAATAAATTTTAAAAATTATGCCATTACAAGTTTGATGTGGTATGAAGGCTCAGGTTCACATGTTCCCTTCTCTTGTGCATAATTCCCAGATCTAGTTTGAGGCAAACTACAGTTTAGGGATGCTTGATTATTTCATTCATTCTTTGTGGATTTCGGTATGTACTGACTTCCTGGATGAATATAGTTATTCAACAGTTAGTTATCTTAAAATTTTGAGACGTGTTTCTCTGCTCAGAAATGGTACCAAAATGCATATAAAAATACACATTTTAGGATAAAATTTAGAAATACTTTTGAGAGAAAAGGTTTAGAAATCTGTACTTTAGAAAATAAAATAAAATTATAAACATACAATGAAATCATGCAAAGTACACAAGACATTAAAAATGGAAATGTACAGAAAAGGATCCAACAAGTGTTGGAAATGCAAACAATTGGAAGGTACATTTTATCATATGTGGTGGAAATGTGAGATTGTTAAAAAATTCTGGGAAATGATTTATAATGAAATGAAAAAAATGTTTAGCATACCTTTTGTAAAATAACCAGAAGCCTTTCTATTAGGAGTTGTAGGAGCGGAGGTGCCAAAAGAACAGAAGAATTTGTTTATGCATGCTACGACCGCCACTTGTTAGCTCAAAGATGGAAAAAAGAAACCATCCCGACCAAAGAAGATTGGCAAAATAAATTAATGGAATATGCTGAAATGGTGAAAATAACTGTAAAGCTCAGAAACCAAGACGATAAGATTTTTAGAAAGGATTGGGAAATGTTCATTTTATATATTCAAAAGTATTGTAAACATGTTAAAACACTGGCAGGATTTTAAGAGCACTTGTAATTTTAGAGAAACTATGAAAGAAATTGGATGAAATTTTTTTTGGAGTAATAATGATATGCAGTGGGAAAGGAAAATTAAGGAACCAGAGGATGGGGTGGAGGGAAGTCACAGGATTTGGGGAATCCTTAATTTTAGATTTGAAATTGGTTTTACTTACAGTTTTGTTTGTGTGTTTGAAAATACTGTTCTTGATATGGTTTTTATTTTATTTTTGGACAGTTTGTTAAAATTTAATAATAAAAAAAGAATAAAAATGGAAATGTGTATTTTGTGAGAAAATACTATTTATACATGAGGATTTTTTTTAAAAAAGAAAACCACGGATTAATACAGAAGGGAGATGGAAAAGAATTATGAATGAGCACATGTGAAACTGACATGGACCAGAAATAGATGGCTCCATCCACCATATTACAGCTTGTCATTGCACCTGAACCAACAAACTATGGCCTGGGGTGATCCTGCAAGCCAGGATCAGAAACCGGGGGGGCAGGGGACACACACATTGGTTTGTGATCCTGATTTACAGGCAAACACAACCCCACAGCTTGACTGTTTGGACAAAAAGGCAAACTACGGTTTACCCTAACTTAGGACTGGGAAGTCGGGAATCACTGTACACAAATCTGAGAAGCAGGAAGGCTTGTTCACCTAGAACCAAATCATGGTTTTGCATCGCATCTGAACAGAGCCTTTGTGAGCTAAGAATCCAGGGTTCTTTGACTTGAAGCAAATGCAGCCTATATTGTGGAAAGCAAAAGGTAGCTTCCAAGTATCCAGACAAACTCAAGTCTTCCACCCTTCCTTTGTCTTTCCCCCTTCCCATCCCCTTCCGATGCTTGGGAGAGGTGGGTGACCTAAAAAATGATGGGGTTCTTAACATTGAACAGATTCTCATGGTCAGGCGGTTAGTAAAATTAATTTCCTCTGGAGCTAAAACTCAATTACTATGTAGATCTCAAAACATAAATCCCTTTAGAAATACTACAATACTAACGAGATCTCTTGGCACTTCAAAGAAATAGGTGAGCCATCAAGATAAGCGGAGAGTGAATTGCCCAGTATAGACATTCATTTACATTTGACAAACATATATCAGAGTGCTTTAATCAAGTGGTATCTCAGACAAAAGGAAAGTTGGCACAGTGTGGCACAAAAGGAAGGTAGACATACCTCAGTTTTTTCATGGCAATAACGCATAAAAAATAGTAAAACACTTGATGCATTCCAAGCATTAATGTTTATAGAAGAAGCTACCAGTAAGGAGCCAACTGAGAATGCAGGGGTGGACTGGTGTCCACTGGAACAAGGCAGGCACGTCCAAAGTCCACTTCGGGGGCCTAATCTGGCCTGCCGGTCAGTTTAATCTGGCCCCTGTGGAAGTTTATTTCCTGGGGTAAAATCCTTAAAAAATGTACCAACTTCAACCCTAAAAGAAGATCAACAACTCCAACCCTGAAAAAAGCTGTCAATCCTAGAAAAGGTCGACAACTTTGGTTGGCCCCCACAGCCCTTGACTTCATCAAATCTCGCCCTCTTTGAAAAAAGTTTGGACACCACTGATAGGAAGACCAGCAATAGGTGAAGCCAGAGCCAAAGACAGCCAGATTCACCCCCTGTGCTGGTGACAGGCAGGTGGGGGTAGACTGAGAGCAGATTGAGGGCTCATCCACTTGTCCTGCTGTTTTCAGGGGAAACCACTGTTTAGCCCCACATCATTATTACATACTTTGCAACTGCAATAAGCCTGCAACATCCGCGGGGGTTACGTTCCGGGGATCGCGCCTAAAGCCAAAATTGTGTGTATTCAAAACCCATTGGATTCAATGGTGGGTGGGATTGCCCAAGTCATTTTCCCCATGACCTCAACCCCCCCCTTAAAAAATTGGGGGTTTTGGCCACAAGCGTAAAACTGAAGTTAAATGCACGTAAGTTGCAGGAATGTACATCTACATTCCTGATATGTTGGGGGGTGGGAATCTCTTGAACATGTGCAGCTTCACATTATACACTCTTAAATCACAGTTTGATCATGACTGCAGGTATAAAATGGAGTTTGCTTCCGTTGCCCTGATGCCATGAACACATTTACTTTGGGGAAAGCACAATTCTGTTGTAGAGAATTATAATACATTTGAAAAGCAAACACAATAAAGTCAGCATCTGTAATCATGCACATGCTTGGCCAGCCAACCCCTGACTATAAAATGTTTTTGTTTTTGTTTTGTTTTGAATAAGAAGATACTGCACTGCAGTGACTAGTGTCAGCCCCAGCCAGTGGAATGTGTGAGTGCTGGCCCAGGTCATTACATTGGTCCTGTTTGCTGCTGCCTCTATCATCTGCCACTCTCAGGTTAATCATTTTTTTGGAGGGGAGACTGGTCTGTGGGCCCTGGATTTCAGCCCTGAGGTCCAATGTTAGCTGCATCTCTGAGCTGGCCATCATTAAGATAGACCCAACATATTCCCATTTTACCAATGGAAAACAAAGCAGAAGACACAGCAATCCATGCTACCTCTATGACTGCTTGTTTTTGGAAGCTGGCTGTAGTCTTGTGATGGGCCTAATCCACACTGGTCCACAGAGGCTACAAAACGCATCAGCCCTGCCCTTCTGTGTGACTGAGCAGGGCTCTGCAGGCAATATTGTCTGCAGAGCTGGCTCTTTAGTTTGGCAGTAGGGTGTCCTGGGAGGAGACATACCTGATTTTTTCCCAGAGACAAGTCCTCTGTTTCCAGCTGTGCAGTGCCAAACCAGGAGTGCAAGCAGCTGCCATGTGCCCTTACATGCCAAGGCCACCCAGTGAGCCCTGGCTGAAGCAGGGTCTTGATCTCACACCTCAAAAGCCAGTGCTAACTCAGATGCAAATCATGGGCCGCGAACCAGACAAAATGTTAAGTGCTTCTTCTAACCTTTGTAGATTTCACTGGGGCACTGAAGCGTAGGCTTAAATTGTGGGTCTTTACAGTGCTGAATTTTGCTTCGATTATGCCCTTAGGATTTTGGAAATATTTTGTTGTTGCGTGTGTGTGGTGGTGGTGGTGGTGTTTTTGGACAGCTCATGTGGAAAAAAGAAAAAGGAAAGAATATTTGAAGCCATTTCAGGTATTTTGCTGCCAGCTGAACCGGATGTTTATACGACTGGTACGCGCTGGAAAGATTCTGTCAGGAGAGGAGGAAACGAAATGGCTTTAAAGTTATTCGCAGCTGCAAAAATTGGTGGCAGATTCTGCGAAGAAGTTAGCACCATCTACTGAGCCTTGGGAGTTGATGCAGGTATGGGAAATTATTATTGCAATTATTAGTAGACACTATTTATATCCCACTTTTCCTCTCAAAACGTGTAGGGATGCTAACATAGTTCTTCTTCCTCATTTTATCTTTACAAAGATTAAGCGAGATGCGATAGGTTGAGGGATAGCAACTGGCTCTAGGTCCCCACTGAGCTTTATGGCTTTAAATACTGCACCACACTGGTTCGCTGACCATGATTGCTAATAGGGTCATGCTGCCATATTCTGCTTAACATTTAAAGACAGTCAGATAGAATTCGGTCAAGTTTAAAATGAACAGGAGAAATGGTTAGCATTTCCTGAGATGTAACCAAATGGATTTTTATTGGATAATGAACTGATGTTCTATAACCTGTTGGGGAGGGGAACATACAGGAACTTCTTGAACATTGTCAAAAAGCAGCAGAGTTTTATGAAAATCATAGGTCCTAGCCCAGGGCCTTGTTAGCCTGTCTGATAATCCAGCCCTGATCAAAACAGCCTTGATCTCTGCCAGGAAAAAATCAATCATGTGCAGGTCTGCCAAGTACCGATATATGTATTTACTGTTCTGCAACTTTTCTGTGGACCACCTGGATGGCACCCACAGACCTCCAGTGGTTTGTGGACCAGTATGAGATCTTCACATTGACTGTTACTGGAAGTGGTTCTCCAGGGTCTAAGGAAAAGAGAGGTCCCCCCCCCATCACCTGCTTTCCGAAATCCTTTTAGCTAATGGTGGGGGGGGGACACCTCAGGCCCAGGGATCCAGTGCAGCCCTCCAGGCCTCTCCCACTCTCAAGATTCTTCCCAGGCCATCTCCTATCTCTGTAAGCTACATCCCACATCATGGATGGAATGTGTTCTTGAACTCTGATAATGTCTTTTGCTTGCCTGAATGGAGGACAGAGTGGGGTGTGAATGTGTGTGGAAACTAGTCTACTAGCCCATTTTCCCCTCTGGCCTGCCCACCTCTGGCATGTGGCCCTTGGATAGTTGCTCAGAATGTGGCCCTCAAGATGAAGATTTCTTGCCCCTATTTTAACTTGAGGTGGCCAGAGATTGAACTTGAGGCGTTCTTTCTGCATGTGAAGCATGTGCTTCACCATTGAGCTGTGGTTCTTTCCATAACAAACAAATCTGGCTGGCTGTTGTTAGAAAAGGTGCATTCAGAAAGGGAGCTTGCTGCATTAGTTTTCCAGCTTATAACTCTAGCGCTTCTGTCCCAGTTTCATTACGGAGCTGTGGCTCTTTAGCTGATATACTGTCATGTTGTGCCAAATTTCATTCGCTCCAGGGGGTGTGGTGTGACACAACAGCAGACGTCACTGGATATGTTGCCGTCGTCCCATCTTTTATGTCATGTGCACACACACACACACACCCGGAAAATGGCAGGAAACAACTGTGTGCCACCATGCTGGCCACCCCAAATTTCAACCTGTGATTTTCCAGGTTGCAAATGGACTTTTTCTGGAAGCGATTAAATGTGGAAACAAGCACCCAGCTTCCACTAGATTCTGCTAGATTACCAGAATTAGTTTTCTGGCTGTGTGAAAGATCACATATGGAGATGTCGGGGAAATGGAATAAAGTACTGTTTGAATGCAGCCAAAGAGAATTTTAAACACACTTTTGGATGATTCGGGCAGGCAGTTCTTACGTTTGTGTGCCTGTGCCTTGGCCATGGATACAGAACCCTGTAGATACTGCTGGATTTCAACTCCCATCATCCCTAAGCACTTTGCTGGGACTATGGAAGTTGGAAATCAGGTTCCCACCTCTGGTTTAGGTTGTTTTGACTCAGCCTTTCTATTAAAATTGTTTCCCTGTTTCGTTCTCTTAAAAAGCTTTATAAATCCTTCCTGAACTGAGTGCTGCTTTCTTCTTGCCGTCTTCCCTTCTGCCACACCCAATGAGGTTTACTGCCATTGAACTGAAGCCCTCGCTCTGGATCTATGCGTGAATTTGCTGCACAATCACCTCTTTATTCTGGTGCACCTTCGCCCTTTTGTATCCCACCATCCCTGCCTTGCAGTTGGCATGGCCCTGCCTCCACCTTTGAGCTTGTTTGTGCCCCTGTCCATCTCCTAGCTCCCCTCCCAGCACAGCTCAAATCCCACAGCCAGCCGGCTCTGCGCACCCAGATTAGCATGGCAACATCAATCCAGACTGGCAGGAAAATGCACACACGTGGTTCCCTCCCCAGCATCAGTGGGGAACTGCTGCTGCTGCTACAGGCTGGGAGGGTGCAGAGTTACACCAAAGGGCAACGTGGAACAAGGAAACAGCACTAGAAAGACTGGTCTAGTCTCAGCTGTGTCTGCTAATGTGCCCAGAGCTGGAAGGAGACAGACAGACAGACAAGAGAGGGAGGGAAACTCACAGAAGGCTTTTCATTACAGCCTGTGGGTGCCCAACGCTCCCCCTTCTCCCCCTCCCCACTTCCCTTTTAATTCAAGTGGAACGTGGAAAGACTGAAAAAACAGCTCAGACCCCAGGAGTCTTCCTTTCTACGGGATGAAGGGCAACAAGGGAAGCAGAGTAAATCTGCAGGGACCCTTTTGGCTTCAGCTCACTCAGTGCTTGTTTACACCAGGGGTGGGGAAGCTTGCAGAATCCAAACAGTGCTCAGATGTGTGCTAGCCACCTAGAGCCTGATACATGCATGTCCAGAAAGAGACACGTATTCAGAAACATCTCCACTCCAATCCCCTCAGAGTGACATGGCACTTGCATATGTGTACACAGATATATTGAAAGCCATACACCCATGCAAAAGAAACACACCTGAAAAGAGTAAACCCGCAAGGTTATACAGGCAGGTCATGGAAAAATGGACTGGAGGGGGGCATGTATGGAGAATGATGCACCAAGGATTCCAACTGCAGGGCCTTATGCACAGAGCACACGTAGAAGAACACACATGAAACAATTTGTACTCAAACTGCACACACAACACACTTTTACACTCACTTGCATACCCAAATGTTCTCTCTCTCTCTCTCTCTCTCTCTCTCTCTCTCTCTCTCTTACATACACACACACGCTGACCCAGAGCACTATGTGAGCACATAAATGCACATAAGTATTCATACACAAATACTGTCCCCATACAACCACACCCATCCACTTCTCCGGCTGCCCCTGACAATTTATAGGAAGGGTGGGGCACGTTTTTCAGCCTGAGGGCCACATTCCTACATAGACAACATTTGGGCAGAAAGGGGCTGTATGCTGGTGGCAGGTGAGACCAGAGATAAAAGTGGGTGGGGCAATGGATTTGACTCTTACCTTTGTAAAGTCAGCTTTCACCTTCCGGCTACGACTACGCAAATGGTCAGAAGTATTTACACACTTGCACACACTCCTCCTTGCAGGCAAGCAAGAGGCATTATCACAGCTCAATGATACATTCCAACCAGTCAAAAGCAGTCTTGGGAGATGCGTGGCGAGGGGTGCCAAGGCCAAGATGCTTTCCTGCCTCCTCCCCTGCAAAAAAAAGTTTCCTTCACCCTGAACTGGCTTGTTGAGAGTCTGTCATCACAGTCCCATGTGGAGCTTGTGTTAGTCATTCCTTCAGTCCACAACATTTCTGGTCCCTGAGATTGAGAATTCAAACACATGCATGCATGCACGCACACACAAGGTCATAGGAGATGCTTTCCATTGGGAATTTCTGCTGGAGAAGCCTCAGTAAAATGCCTTATCCTACTGTACTCTTCCTAGAGGATTATGCTTCAGTGGGCAGGCCTCTCTGTCTCCCACTAACAGCCCTTAATTGTGAGAGAAACCTGTTGCACCACCCTGCCCCACTGGAAGGCCACTTGGGGAGGAGGCTACCCCATGACTTGCTTTGGCATAACAACATAGCAAGAGCCCCGCTGGATCAGACCAAAGGCCCTCCTGCACCCTGGCCTCAAATGGCCTACCAGACACCTGGGCAAAGCCCAAAAGCGGGACAGGAGTGCAAAGGGGTTCTCTCCTCACTTGTGAGTTCCAGCAAACCAGTACAGAAATATTCCCCATCCTGGTGCTTTTCAGGTATTTTGGAGTACAACTCCCATCAGCTCTAGTAAGTGTGGCCAATGGGTCAGGGTTTATGGGAGTTGTAGTCCAAGAATATCAGGGAGACAATGTATTGATTGGGGAAGGCTGTGCTGTGGCTCCTAAGACTCAGAGGGGGCCCAGTTTTTCTCTGAAGCTGTGAGCTGGTCTGGAGTAAAGTTAATCTTGTATAATATACCTCATACAACATAGCACATATATCATGGGAGTTGTGGTCCAACAGTATTGGAGGTGGAGGAAGCAATGTACACACAGCTCCTCCTATCAAAACTCAGGGACAAAACTAGGCTTTATTTCCCCCAGGCCAAAGACCCAGTTTAGCACCCACCCACATGCATTTGCATCTAAATACACATAGGCCAACCTATCCATTCTGAAGGAAATCAGCCCTGAGTGCTCACTGGAGGGACAGATCCTGAAGCTGAGACTCCAATACTTTGGCCACCTCATGAGAAGAGAAGACTCCCTGGAAAAGACCTTGATGTTGGGAAAGATGGAGGGCACAAGGAGAAGGGGACGACAGAGGACGAGATGGTTGGATAGTGTTCTCGAAGCTACCAACATGAGTTTGACTAAACTGTGGGAGGCAGTGGAAGACAGGAGTGCCTGGCGTGCTCTGGTCCATGCAGTCACGAAGAGTCAGACATGACTAAACGACTAAACAACAACAACACACATAGGCTGGGATCCCCAATGGCACCTCTCTGGAGGCTTCACCTGGGGCAAAAAACCCGGCTAGCCCCCCCCCCAATAGCTGCAGCACTGCTATATGCTTGTTATACAAAAGTCACATCCAAATATGATGAATTAGTACCCAAACCTCACTATACACAACACTGATTCAGATATACAAACAGCCAGACCTGTGTGTAATACTGTAAACAAATAAGCAGCCGTAAACAAGCCTTGCTTCTTTGTGTTTTGCTTGTCCGCAGCAGAAACCATGTTGGGAGGGAGGGGGAAGGGGGAAAGATGGGACAAACAAGAGAGTATTTCCCCCCCCCTTCCTTATTTGCTTTTTACAAGGTTTCGTAGGGGTTTCCTGTTTCCCCCCATCATTTGGGGGTCAAAATTCCATGGCTGGGAACGCATTAGAAAATTTCTCATAGGAATACCAGCAACTGTCAACTTGTTATGTGAATGCTCGCCTAACGAAAACAATGTGTTCCTGAGAATGCATTACATTTGGATAGCGATACAGTGGTACATACATACAGGGTTACATACGCTTCAGGTTACAGACTCCCCTAACCCAGAAATATTAACTTGGGTTAAGAACTTTGCTTCAGGATGAGAACAGAAATCGTGCTTCGGCGGCGCGGCAGCAGCAGGAGGCCCCATTAGCTAAAGTGGTGCTTCAGGTTAAGAACAGTTTCAGGTTAAGTACGGACCTCCGGAATGAATTAAGTACTTAACCTGAGGTACCATTGTACATGTGTGGAAGTCTGTGCTAGGGTGGCCTCTAAGTCTCTGAGAGGGCCCAGTCTTTCTCTGAAGCCGTAATACACATCATACAACACAGCAAGTGGACCCCACCCCTGATCCTTCTACCCCGTTCATTGGCAGGTGATCAGACAAACCAGAGACAGGCCTTTCTCCTAGTTCCGCCAGCCTAAACGCAGACATGTTCAGCAGCAGAACAGCCTGCTGGGAAGGGGGCAGTAGCCAAGGCCCCAGCAGAACAGGCTGGTGACTCACTCTTCTGGCTCAGGGAATGGCCCCTGTGCGCGGGACCGAGGCCAGACCAGGCCGATCCTCTTCCTCCAAGCCTCCACACGTTTTGCTTGCTCAGAGGAAGGAGCTGGAATGACGGAGCCCGACATGCCCAGCCTAGGGTTGACCTAAATCCCCTCCACCGGCCCTTCGCTGGGAACTGCCAGGACCCAAGTCCTCCGTTTGCCGGAAGCCTGGTTGTGCCAAGCATTCAAAGGCTTGGCCCCAGAAAGGGAGCGGTGGAAGAGGGCCACTGCAGAGGGAGGGAAGGAGGGAAGGCTGGGCTGGGCTAGCCAACAAGCTGCTCTTTCTTTCCCTGCGCTCTGTTCCCTTTCACCTCCCTTGCTCAGCCGCAGGCAGCGGCCACATGTTTCACATTAGGATCTCTGGACTTCGCCATTCCTGGGGTGTTGGCCAGGGGTATTCCTCTCTTCTCCGCCTCCCCCCACCACAACCCAGTTACAAAACTCTAGCAGAGACCACACAGGAGATGGGAAAGATGCTTGGACAACAAGTGGAGTGGGGGCAGCAGAGAGAGAGGAGGATATGTGGTGGGGTGGGGGAGAGAGAGACTGATGGAGGGAAAGACTTAAAAGGAGAAGGCGGCCATGCAGCTTGCATGAGATTGCAAAGGGAGACGGGCAGGCACAGCCAAAAGCACAGCAACAAGAGACAGCAGGAGGGAGGGGGGGTGTGTGTGTGTAAAAGAGAGCAAGTGAGAAAGATTGCAGTCACCTCTCCTTGCTACCTCCTGACCCCTGGAGCCTTGGAAAGATAACAGCCCCCAAAGAGTGCTGACTTGCCTTTCAGAAATCCAATATCCTCGCCTGGTGAACTAATCGACTACCTGGGCTCGCAATAACCACCCTGCAAAAGGATTAATCCTGGCGCTGAAAATCTTTAATTAGTTTAACAGTTTCAGGCTCCATGGAGGCAGCAAATGGCAGACACAGGCGCTCCAGCCTCTCTACCCCCCCCCCCGCCCCTTCTCCTCTCCCCCACAACTCAAGAACGGGACCTCCTGGGAGGCGGCTTCATTCCCTAGTTGAGATGGGAGGAAGAGGCAAGAATTTCCCACTAAGAAGGGAAGAGACACAGGAGAGGGTGGGGAAGGGCAGGATCTTGCTTGCTCTCTGCCTTTTAAAAAATAACTCTGAAAGGGAGGGCTTACTCAATTGGAGCTCTGAGCGTAGTCCATGGGAGGTAGATGTGATCAAGAAATCTCAATATATTATTAAACGGTGAGAACGGAAGGACAGTCCAAAACAGAGCTGGCTTCCTCCTCCACATTACAGCCAAAGGCACACGATCACATTGTGCAAGTGCAGCATCTGGTACTGGGTAGACACTCCAGCACTGTGAGGCTCTTGGCTTTTGCAAGTTACTAGTCCTTAAGATTCTGAAACAATTTCTGGCTATCTGTCACTCAAGGCAGACTGACGGATGATGGTAGCACTGAGCATAAGAACACATATTGAGCAGGACTTTCACATAAAAGTTCTCCGTGCCCTCTTTCTTTTCCCAGGGTGGGGGCCTTTTTGTGCTGGTGTGCACTGTGGGGACCCATATGTCTCTTTCGAACTAAAGGGCAACAATGTTGGAGCACGAGACAAGCCGGACACAGGTACCGTAACAAATCCTAGCATCCAGCAGTGCTGCGTCTTTGGGTTAGTGGGCCGTACATTACGGAACATGAACACCCAGTTTTCAGACTGAGAAAGTCCCTTTTCACTACCAGGGCAAGAAATTGTCCTGCATCCGTCACACTGCTTGGGCCTACCCCTGGCATTAATCAAAGGGGAAAGTAACTCAGTACGGTCCCTGATGGCATAAGAAGAGCAGGGTCCCACCAATGGCCCATCTAGTCCAGCATGCTTTTCTCACTGAGGCCAACCATATGTTCATGGGAAGCCTGCAAGCAGGACTTGAGTGCAATATAACCTCTTCCCACTTGAGAGTCCCAGCAACTGGTATTCAGGGCCACAGTGCCTCTGACAGTGGAGGGAGAACATAGACATATTGGTTAGTAACCAGTGATAGCCTTATTTGCCTTTATGTCCCTCCTCACGCGAAACCACAGCTCAGCAGTAGAGCATTTGACTTGCATGCAGAAAGTCCAAGGTTCATTCCCCAATGACACTGCCAGGTTGGATTGAGAATATTCTCTGCCTGAAAACCTGGAGAGGCCCTGCTAGTCAGTGTTGACAACACTGAGCTAGGTGGCAACTTCTTACGTTTCCTAATTGCTGACTACATGGTCTTTGGACATTAGAGCCCTTCCGGGTGGTTTTGCCCGTATTGTGAAAGGGATTGGATCAAAACATGTTTTGTCTATGGCCATACTACCCTGAACACACCTGATCTCATGTCTGGCAGGGCAAGAAGCCCAGAATAAAATTTAAAATACTAACAGATGCAAAGGAAAGAGGTGGATTTGCCCTGCCAGACCTTAAACTTTATTATGAATCAGCAGCTTTTTGCTGGTTGAAAGAATGGCTGCTTCTTGAAAACACTGACATTTTGGACCTAGAAGGTTTTAACAATGTATTTGGATGGCATGCATATCTGTGGTATGATAAGGTCAAAGCACATAAAGCATTTAAAAATCACATTGTCAGGAAAGCACTGTTTAATGTTTGGATAAGATACAAGGATTTATTGGAAAACAAAACTCCAAGGTGGCTGTCACCAATGGAAGCGAAAGCCTTGAAAAAGCTCAATATGGAGGTCAAATGGCCGAAATATTGGGAAATTTTGGAACAAGATGGAGATAGACTGAAATTGCAGAGTTTTGAAAAATTAAAAACAAAGTGCGAGACTGGCTTCATTATTTTCAGATAATGGAGGCATTCAATTTGGACAAGAAAATTGGCTTCCAGGTGGAAAAATCAAAATTAGAAACAGAACTGTTAGAACCCAAAACTAAGAATTTGTCAAGAATGTATAACTTGCTGCTGAAATGGAACACTCAGGATGAAACGGTGAAATCTGCTATGATTAAATGGGCACAAGACGTTGGACACAACATTATGTTCGCTGACTGGGAACAGTTATGGACCACAGGTATGAAATTTACGGCATGTAATGCCCTAAGAGAGAATATTATGAAAATGATATACAGGTGGTACATAACCCCAGTCTTTGGACGTGCCCAAAGATTAAGGCTTTCTGGGAAATGATATATAATGAATTTAAAAAGGTATTTAAATATACCTTCTTGAAGAAACCAGAGGCCTTTCTCCTGGGCATAGTCGGCCAATCGGTGTTAAAAAAGGATAGAACTTTCTTTAAGTATGCCACAACAGCAGCAAGAATACTTATCGCAAAGTATTGGAAGACACAAGAGCTACCCACACTGGAGGAATGGCAGATGAAATTGATGGACTATATGGAATTGGCGGAAATGACTGGTAGAATCCGTGACCAGGGAGAAGAGTCGGTGGAAGAAGACTGGAAGAAATTTAAAGACTATTTACAGAAATATTGCAAAATTAAAGAATGTTAGAGTGATGTTGGATTGAAATTAAGTGGCTTCTAGCTATACAGGCTTTAAAGTTATATATAGATTAAGATTAAGGATTAGGACTAAAAAAGTCAAAAGAAATGGAAAATTGGTTTTTAATAGATTAAAATTTAATGTTATATTATATTAAGATTAAGGATGGGATTAAAAAGGAGGGAAAGGAATTGCTGGACAAACAAATTGAATTGGAATACAAAAGAGGGAGGTATGAGGAGGTCCGGGAAATAAGTAAATGTAAAAGTTGTGATGAAAAGATGGAATTGTTTTTAACTGTTTTTTCTTTTTTCTTTTCGTATTTTGTATTTTGTACTTTGTATGGTGTTTTCTCTTTCTATTTTTAAATTTCTTTTTTTTTATTAAGATGTTTTTTTCATGTGAAACTCCAATAAATATCATTTTTTAAAAAAAATGAACACACCTGATCTCAGAAGCTAAGCAGTGTCAGGCTTATTTAGTACTTGAGTGGGAGACCGCCTGGGAATACTGAGTGCCGTGGGCTTTTGCCTTCTTGGGCCTGGGATAGTCGGTGCAGCATGAGACTCTTAATCTCAGGTTCATGGGTCTGAGCCCATTAGGAAAAGATTCCTGCAATGCAGGGGGTTGGACTAGATGACCCTCAGAGTCCCTTCCAACTTTATGATTCTACAGTTTACTGTACAGAGGGAGGCTAGCTTGCTAATACAGCATGGCACAGAGAATAATAATAATAATAATAATAATAATAATAATAATTTATACCTCACCCATCTGGCTGGGTTTCCCCAGCCACTCTGGGTGGCTCCCAATTGAATATTAAAAACACAATGCAGCATTAAACATTAAAAACTTCCCTAAACAGGGCTGCCTTCAGATGTCTTTTAAAAGTAGGATAGTTGCTTATTTCCTTGATATCTGATGGGAGGGTGTTTTACAGGGCAGGCACCACTACTGAGAAGGCCCTCTGCCTGGTTTCCTGTAACCTCACTTCTCGCAGTGAGGGAACTGCCAGAAGTCCTTTGGCGCTGGATCTCAGTGTCCGGGCTGAACGATGGGGGTGGAGACACTCCTTCAGGAATACAGGACTGAGGCCATTTAGGGCTTTAAAGGTCAGCACCAACACTTTGAATTGTGCTCGGAAACGTACTGGGAGCCAATGCAGGACTCTCAGGACTGATGTTATATGGTCCCGGCGACCTCTCCCAGTCACCTGTCTAGCTCCTGCATTCCGGATTAATTGCAGTTTCCGAATCACTTTCAAAGGTAGCCCCACGTAGAACGTATTACAGCAGTCCAAGCAGGAGATAACTACAGCATGCACCACTCTGGTGAGATAGTCTGCGGGCTCAGCCTGCGTACCAGGTGAAGCTGGTAGACAGCTGCCCTGGACACAGAATTGACCTGTGCCTCCATGGACAGCTGTGAGTCCAAAATGACTCCCAGGCTGCACACCTGGCCTTTCAGGGGCACACTTACCCCATTCAGGACCAGCGAGTCCCCCACACCCACCCGCCCCCTGTCCCCCCAAAACAGTACTTCTGTCTTGTCAGGATTCAACCTCAATCTGTTAGTCGCCATCCATCCTCCAACCGCCTCCAGGCACTCACACAGGACCTTCACTGCCTTCACTGGTTCTGTTTTAAAAGAGAGGTAGAGCTGGGTATCATCTGCATACTGATGAACACCCAGCCCAAACCTCCTGATGAGCTCTCCCAGAGGTTTCATATAGATATTAAAAAGCATGGGGGAGAGGACAGAACCCTGAGAAACCCCACAAGTGAGAGCCCAGGGGTCTGAACACTCATCCCCCAACACCATTTTTTGGATACGGCCCAGGAGAAAGGAGCAGAACCACTGTATAACAGTCCCTCTAGACGGTCCAGAAGGATGTTATGGCCGATGGTATCAAAGGCCGCTTCGAGATCCAGCAGAACTAGGAAACAGCTCTCACTTTTGTCCCTAGCCTGCCAGTGATTATCAACCAGTGCAACCAAGGCAGTTTCAGTCCCAAGGTGAGGCCTGAATCCCGATTGGAAGGGATCCAAATGGTTTTTGTGGTGAGAAGAGCCAGGTACCAGAATGGAAGAATCTAGACTGGAATGAGGCTGCTCTAGAAAACAAAGCAAAGGAAGCAAAGTCAAAGAGGGCAGAAGTCATCAAGGGGGTCATAAGCCAGCCAGTTCTTCCCAAGCTCCAATGCTTTGGAGAATGGGATGGAAGGTCAAAGACTGGAGCTAAGGTTAAGTGATGATAAGGCAGATTTGGAAAAAGAGATACTTTTGCACAGGCATCGCAGCAGTAACAAGCAAATCAAGCCCAAATGCACAGAGAGGGTTTTTTGGCTGGGTCAGGAAGATCACACCAAAGCAGTAACCAATCTATTGCGGGGCTGATCCTCAGATGCAACAAGGAAGCATGGACAAGGTTGCATAGAAAACGTAAATTCTCAGGACCAGTGGAGGAGCTCAGCCTCCTTCCAGTTCATCAACACCATCATGCATATTGGACCATTAAACATAGCTATAACCAGAAAGTTAGAACGTTTGTGTTGTGGAGCAATGGAGAATAGGGTACAATCTCCAACAGGACATTCAGCATCCTGAAAGCCTAAAACTTTCAGGCTTTCTTTTAAAGTTTCTAGCCCTCAGGAGATGTGTGTATATATGAGTAAGGAGAAATATCATTTCCAGCTGCTAAGCAGAAATTGATTTTATTCTCAGATCCCAGGAGTGTGATGTCCCAAGAGGAGAGTATGCCTTGATAGAGCAGAATAACCCTTCTGCTGTTTACTATTTTGGGAGGTGGGTGAGTGTTAATGGATCTCAGTAAGCACAATGTTATCAACTTTTCATAGCAGGAGAACAGGCAGCCAGCAGCAGACCCAGCCTTAATAAAGGGTTCTTGAAATGGTGGACCAGTGCAGCACAGGTGGCAGGGGTGGGGGTCCCCTGCTGCTTTTCAAGGGTGTTTAAAAACAAAACACAACACAACACTGATACTCTGGAGAATGATTACACCCTGGAGGCATAGGACTGAGGATAGTCAGAGCCTAGGATTCCTTCTCTAAGCATAGGAACCCAGGAAGCTGCCTTATACTGAGGGATCATTCACACATACCTTTGGGTTGCACTGGGCTTTCTTGAGCAGGGTTTTTTGTGTTTTGTTTTTGTCCCACCACTTTTCCCAGGAAGATGTACTCTTTTAATGCTGAATCAGAACCAACGGCAATTCAGGTTTCCCACAGATTGTCATTTGCTCCGAAACAGCAGAAAAGGGCAGGTTTTTGTGGGGAAAGCACCAGGACTTTAAAGCGCAGACCTGTGCCTAGAAACACAGCACAAAGGGAAGCCTGGGTGAGCCCTGCATCAGGCCACTGTTCCACCCAGCTCAGAATTGTTCTCACTGCCTGGCAGAGCTCTAGGATTCCAGACAGGACACTGAAACGTGGAAGTGGTTTCAAGGCACATTCTCTACAGTTTCAATGCATTTTTGGCCGCCTGTTATGTTCCTTAATGATTCCAGGCTCCCTTAATCCTGAAGCTCTTCTTTATATATGGAATCTAGACACTAACACTGGTAGATGCAAGAGAATACATTCCATTAGGCTTTGGACCACCTGAGTGAGGCTTTCAGAAGCAATCCCCCACAGTCTCTGCCTTTCTTATTGCATTTCAGTGTTCAACCCCTTCTACTGCTCTTCCTTTCATTCACTCCTTACTATTTGCCAGAATAACTCTTGTTTTGCATTTATAATTAGGAGACAAAACAGATGGCAAGTGATTCATCTTAGGTAATGGGTCCACGAGAGTCCCCTAAGCTGCTGGGTTTCCTTTGCTGGAGCCTATAACTTTAAGTTGGTGTTTTGTGGTGTGTGCATATTTTCCTCCCACCCCCACCCCCCAAGTCAAGAACTGCTACCTGGCAAACATAAATCCAGCAGCTGTTTGGGGAGGCTCTCGAAAACAGAGACCACGGTTCTGTTTGACTGGTGACAGTGAACGATGCACAGAGACACGAAGCGTGGGAGATGCCCGTGGAGCAAAAGAGGGGGCTGTGCTTCTGGCAGGGCTGCTGCTGATAAAGTGCCATTTTCTGACACTGTTCTCAGCCTGAAAGCTTCATTCAGCCTGGTCTGCTGTAGTGTATTCTGGGATAATGGGGAATGTAACCCAGACAAATCCGAATCAGTGTGAAAAGGTGGGCCTTTGGGATAACCTCTAAACAACGAAAAATGGAAATCTACAATGGGGGTGTGGGGTGGCCATCCATATTGAAGAACCATTTCAGGAGTCAGGAATTTGTCCCAAATAGGCAACCATACAATACAGACAGCCTCCAGATGTATTTGGATTCCAATCAGCCATCCAATGGGTAAAGGTAAAGGGACCCCTGACCATTTGGTCCAGTCATGGCCAACTCTGGGGTTGCAGCGCTCATCTGGCTTTATTGGCCAAGGGAGCCGGCGTACAGCTTCTTCCGGGTCATGTGGCCAGCATGACTAAGCTGCTTCAGGCGAACCAGAGCAGTGCACAGAAACGCCGTTTACCTTCCCGCCGGAGCAGTACCTATTTATCTACTTGCACTTTGACGTGCTTTCGAACTGCTAGGTTGGCAGGAGCTGGGAGCTCACCCTGTCGCGGGGATTCAAACCGCCGACCTTCTGACCGGCAAGCCCAAGAGGCTCAGTGGTTTAGACCACAGCGCCACCAGTGTCCCTTCATCCGATGGGAGATATATCCTAAAACATCTGGAAGAAACTAGGTTGGTGAAAGCTGGTTTAGATTGTAAGCCCTCAAGAAAAGCAAGTTTGCACACCCACCCTCTCCCTTGATGGTTATGTTCTGCAAAGGTGGAACAACTATTCCACCTCCATCTGCCTGGTTCTGCCCTTTAAAATCTTAAAACTCACCTTCATTCACATTTTCTCCTCTCCCTAATACATTCACTAATGAAGGGAAAGTCCTCTTCCCACCTGTGGGCTTAGAAGCCAGCACATTTTAATGGCTGAGGGATTGATAGCCTTTTAACTATATTCTTTGCTGTTTAATGTTGTGAGCAGCCTAGAAAGGTTTGAATCTGGAAAGGCGGGATCTAAATGACTTTTCAAAATCAAATAAAAGTGAAAAGACCGAGTTCTCGGATTTGAGGCTTCCTGAATCACATCTGAGACGGGCTGGAAAAGAGAACTGAGTGAATCCCACAGACACCCATGAACATAACCTCTAGGGGTTCCCGAGTGTGAGAGATTTGGACAAAGCCCCAAAGATGTGCAATAGTAAGATTGGCATGGGATGTTCCCTTTTTGTGATGCACTCCCTCTCCTTCTCTATCTCTCTCTCACACACACCTACCTTTTGCCACCTGGTTCACCTTCCGAGAGGGTACTGAGTATTGGAAGGGAGCAGAGGGAAGGCACGGTGAAATCAGCCGACAGATGGGCTGCTGAAATAGTGCACCTCGGCTGGCTCTAACCAAAAAGCTGCAGTTCATAAAAGAGCTAGCAGGGAGACAGGATAAATTTAG